GTAAGAAAGTCAAAGGGACTTTGAATATTTGTTCAAGGAAAATGGTGAAATGTCTGCTATGGGGTTCATGAAAGTTTCTTATAAGTGAAATATCCTTATAAGTAAGTTCTTTATAACCGAGAATTTATGTCCTAAATATTAACTACCAGGGGCCCGTTTTATAAATGAACTTAAGACTAAGACCCGAAAAAGTTTACTTGCTTGTAAAATCTTGCAAAATAAATAATTCTGTTTTAAAATTGTATTCATTAATTCTTCTTCCAAACTTCTCTTTAAAAAGATCAAAAAGATTTCCAAAGTAATTTAAAAAACAGAGTTATTTGTGAAATTAAATTTTTGTCTTGGTCGTTAGTTCTTTAGTAAAACGGGACCCAGAAAAATAAATGTTCTAAAGAGAATGCATCCAAACCATCACAATACTACTGTATGAGGAAGAGGGTAGGAGGATGGTAATCCAACACGGATTATTACCCTAAATGAATTTCCCCTAAATATATTATATTCAAAGATTTTTTTTAAATGTTCCATTGTTCCCCCCCCCCCCTTTTCCCCTAACACACAAACAAAACAACTACATTTTTAGCTCTACTGATCAGAGACAAGAAACACTCCTCTTCCTACATTTTGTTCCACTTTATATAAGACTTGATACACAAGTACACTATACTAAGATGCATAATTCTGTTTATTGATTTTGATTTCAATCTGTGTTGCCATGGTTACTTAAAATAGAAATTTCTTTGAGTTTTTTTCAAAACACTACTCCTACAGTTTTGGTCCAATTTCAGTAAGACTTAATTGGTACACAAGTACACTATACTTTAATACACCAAGTACACACCAGTAGAGCTTCAGTCTTGTCAGAGACCTTTGGTTGATATATATAGATATATATATATATATATACTGTATGGTTAAAAAATCGGATGAATGCTGCTGCATAGCAAATTTACACAGCAAAGCAGCAAACATATTCAATCTACCTATTGGCATCTCTGAGAAATTTCAGTGTAGGTAAACATAATTATACAGTAATAAATAAACTGTCAAAATTTTATGTACATGCTATTCATTCTTCCAAGATTATCTAATAAAAGTGTACTGTTGTAAGTAAAAAAGAACAAATGAGAACTTATAGACTGAAATTAGGCCAAATAAAAAAATATGTGTGGTTCCGGTTACCTGACCTTCCCTATTTGATACCCCCGACCCTAAACTTTTTTTTGGCAATTTTCATATTTTTTTCCAGAATTTCCCCCGATTTTCATCAATGGCTCCAGTTTAAGTTTTAGTTTCAACAATGACGGCCTCCTTGCAAAACATAGTGCAAGTGTTTAATAGTGTTAAATCCAAAGCAAGCTAGCATGTAGGTGTCCCCTACCAATATTGACTAGTATATTATCACACCACATCTAAATGCCATTTGCAAAGCAGTGATAGGTATTATTTAGAAAAAATTAAGAAAATCATTTTGTTTAAAAAAAAAAAAAAAAAAAAAAACCTACCTACCTACCCTAATTTTTTTGGAAGTGTAACCGGAACCACACATATTTTTTTGTTTGGCCTTATGGAAGTACATGTAAACAAACTTACTGTGAAACGGAAGGGGATCAGGGTTAGTCACAATTATGCTGCTCGAAAAAAAAAAAATAGGGGAAAAACATATAGGGAAAAAAATTTACTGAAAACGTAATAATATAATCATAATAATTTTGTATGGTTTATCAGGCTTTGGTTTGATCCCTGATCTAAACCTTAGGAATCAACTTAAATTGGTGTCTAGACTGTTCTTAATTTACTCTTCATTTTAAAGATGCTTAAATTCTGTTCATGAAGTGTAAAACAAAGCACATGTTTAAAGTGTTTATAGTGATATTAAAGTGTTGATATTATTAACAAAGCACATTAAAAGTGTTGTTGCTCCAGCAACATTTCTCTTTAGATGAGAATTGAACACCTGATTTAACAAATAGAGTACAGAAAATATATTTCAAGAACAAAGTGAACTATCTAGGTGTATAATACTGCAGTTTAAGGAAGAGCCATATTCGAGTTAATTTTGAAGGGAAATTTTTCCAACTAAACATTTTATCAATGTCACTGTAAAGAAAAAGCATCAAGTATTTGTCCTATGTTCAACTTCTTTATGGAGAAACATTGGAAGTTCTTACTTCAAATAAAGATTGCTTATGAACTGAAGTAGAGCCATGACCTTAATTGAAGGTCATTTGATCAAGTTCAAGGTCACTTATAGATAAATGTTTAATCCATGTTATGACTATATCTTGTAATGGAGAACAGATGCTCATACTTGTCACAGACATAACATATGATCTGACTATGACCCAAGGTCATTCCAGCAAGGTCAAGTTCAGTGGCAGAAAAGTGTTAATTTGTGTCCTGTGTATAACTCAAAAAAGGAGGTTAATTGGAAGTTGATACTAATGACATGAAGATTGCTTATGATGTAAGGGTGGGTTATGATCTAATCCAAGGTCTTTTAACAAGTTCAAATGTCACTGGCAGAAAAAGTGTTAAACTCGTGTCCGGTCTTTGGAACATTCAGGGCTCTAATTGGCGACTAATTTAGTCGCCATGGCACCTAAAATTTTTGATTGGCGCCTAAAATTTTTCCATAACTCGCCAAATTGGCGACCATTTTAAATTGACTTGGCGATCGTTCAATTCCATAAAATTTCACATTTTTTACATTTTTTCTGAAAAAACGAAAAGAAATTTAAAAGAGGAGGAAATTATTTTTAGCAAGGGACATGTCATGTTTTCTTAAGCACATCATGGGTCCCTGTATTCTGTTAACTTTTAAAGTTGGTGCCTTTGAAAAATTGCCTGGCTGCTAAAAATATCCATTGGCAACTAAAATTTTTTGATAAGGCGCCAGCTGGCGCCTAAATTTTAGACAACACTTAGAGGCCTGACATTGGAAGTTTATACCTCATACAAATATTACTGATGTTTTGAAGGTGTGTTGTGACCTCAACCCAAGGTCTATCTCAGGCAAGTTCTGTGTTTTAACATAGTTCCTAAAAATAAAATAAAATTTTATTAACATTTCTATTGCAATTCTTGATTTTTTTTTTCACAAAAATTAAGTCTTGCCAAATACTTTGGCTTACAAGACAAAAAAGCACTTTTACACAGATTTAAAACTTCATTATCAGGTACAGGCATTTTTGCACAACTTAATTCTAAAACATGTATCTATTTTTTACCCATATTTCAAAAGCAGCCTTTTTCATTTATAATTTTTGAAAGAATTTTACATTGAAATCGAGCAATTTGCATTTATACTATGACATTAAGAGTATGACTTTGGTGACAAAGTAGTGAATATTTTCAAACTTACTTATTTATTTACTTACTTACTTTACTTACTTAAACTTACTTAATTACATAGCTACAATGGCAAAATCAATTTTTTATTTCAATATATAATGGACAAGAGTGCACGTGCGGTAGAACTTTGTATCTGTTATTGAACCATCAGCAGTGTTTAAACAACTAAGTTCAATGTTTAAACAACTGAGAATGTGAATTTTAGAATATCCTGTCACTGCGAATACAGTACTGTCTCTCTGCTGATCACTGCCTATCAGTCTCATCCGATCAGGGTTTTTAAAAACCAAGTTATTGATTCTGGAGTTCAATGGTTTTTATGTTTTTATCCATATTGTCACAGGTGACAAATTTGAATTCTCAGCAGCAGTATAAATACTTTAGCTGGAGATTTTCTTCGAAACTGGCAAAACAAAATGGTTTTGTATCCTCATATCAACTCAGCATGTGCTATGTAATTAACTTTTTTTCTAGCAATCCAGTTAGCTGCTAGATAATTCTTTTGTTATTTGTGAGTATTGATTGTGATTGCGTTTTTTTTTTCATTGAAACAATATCAGTGTTGGGAGAAAATAATATGAAATTCATCAGACAACTCTAGACAGAGAGTGCAGATTTTGTAATTACATTAATTTATCTTTACTCTCGTTATTGAAGGACCATTATGTAAATGAGGTTCCAACTTGAACAGATGGCATTGTGCTGCCATATAGGGATGTGATGTCTGGAGAATTAGGGTGGAAAGTCGCACTGCTATAAGGACAATCGTGTGAACACAAGTATAAATAGGTGGGACTGTGACGGTTGCCGGCAGATTTCAGCAGATCGGATCTGTTGGCTCTAGTGGGAGTTATAAGTCATTGTTGGTGACAGAGACACATTCAGATTTTCCTCTTCTAATACAGAACAGCTAGTTTATTTGATTTGTGCAAAACTTTCATACATTCCTATTCTTTGACTTTTCTTTGAAGTGTGAATGTACTAACTATATATATGTATGTGCATCCCATGCAGGTATATGTATATATTACATAGTAAAGGTTGGAAAAATCCATATGAAACATGACTTATTTTAGCCTTTAAGTTAATTGTGTGGTAGCGTCAGCACATGTTGGAGTATTAACAGTGTATTATACAACAGCCGTGTGATCGTCGCCAATGTAATACACCCATAAGAAAAACGGGAGCGTTTGCTATCCTGATACCCGGTGTGAAACATTGAAAAAGATATGCCTGAGCTCCTTTGTCAACAATCGATGGATTGATTGGATATACACACACATATATATCTATAGAGTCCTTCTGTCAGGGCAGATCTCCTTTGTTCACTACTATTGTCTGATGAATGGTTAACTCCAGAGTTTGTCTGGGGGGGAATGATGATAGACAAACTGGCACACATTGGGTGGGGAAACTATAACTGAAAATTTATTTCTTTCAGTAAAAGTTACAGAGTGATGTGTAGTGGTGCAAGGAATAACTGTATTTTTGTGCAATGCTCTATTTTTCCATTTGAGTTCAATTGCCATTGCCTAGTAAATGGAGAATTAGACATTTAAGGAAGATGGGCAAGAGATTGTTGATGGCTCTTAGCAATCAACTCAGTAGTATCAAATCTGTATTTGGCTTTGATGACTCTTCTGTAGAGAAGGAAGAAAAGGCGGTGGCAGGAGTAAAGAGGGAACCTATCGCAGCTGAACAGTTCCTCCAAAAACTCAAACAGAAAAAATCAGATAAACAGCTGAACATAGAAGTCAGGGTGAGTTCTTTCTGAAATTTTTAAAATTCTATTTAAGGAAAAAATAAGCTTTATCATATTATTTTATTTAATTATATTATATTTTTTCAATATCCCCTTTAATTAAATTGTGTTTTCTAAAGAAGAAAAGAGGGCAGCCCGGGGAATGATTAAATGTGGGATATAGTTTGATGTAGAGTCGCACAAAACACTGCTGTTGACAGTGTAATGATGCGTGTATATGCATCAGAAAATTGCAGAGATCCAATGATTTATTCCATGATGGTCTTCATTGATTCAGAAAATGTGCTGTCGAGACTGAGATTGTCAAAGGAAAACATATGCTGATTCTATCTGTCTTATTTATTATTGATAGAACACTCTCACCTGTCCCAAAAACTAAAAAAAAAGACCACAGTCCAATTATTAAAATATTTAATTATATATTTGACAGAATTTTTCATGAAGACAATATATATGAGAATGGTGTGCATAAATTTACTGAATAGATACAAGTCCAAATAACATTTTTTTTCCACATTTAGTAAAAATTGGGCAAGAATTATAATTTATGTGCATGAAGCATCAGCTGCTTCAACATATTAAACTGGGCCATCAATATTTACATGTTATAAAAAAAAAAATGATAAAATGCTCAGGCCAAAATAAAAAATACCTTTGTTTCCCCTAACGCGACCGACCCAATAAAATTGCGCTGACTGAAAAGTTTTTTTTAAAGAAGATAATTCAAAAATTTTTTTTTAATGTTAATCAACTTTTATAAAATACAATTTCATTAAGATCCCAGAACGGCAGATTTTGTTCTAAATTGTGATTTTCAAGCGTTTGTTGGAAACAAAATGGCGTCCACAACTTGTAGTCACAGTTCGTGTTATTAATCAACGGCGACGTATCAAACTTATGCCTTTAGCTCATTAGAATTCCATACTTTTGAAACAATTCATTAATAATAATTACCATGACTAAGAGTGTTTCGGTGGTATTTACAAACCTGTCTTTAAAAATCAAGGTACGTACTAGTAAGCATGGTAAGGCCCGTCTCATGAGCAGACGAGGGGCCCACCTCTGCACCTTGTGAACATATCAATCAATTTCACTACATATTATTTAATTTTGATCTAATAAACAGTTCATCTATGTTCCTACATTTACATTGTATTATATGGGAGCATAGGAAATGTTGTGAATATGTCTGCATATTTCATCCTGTGAAAATAATTCAGACGTCCTTTCTAAATGCCTTTTATTCAGGGGTTAATCTTCGTTACTTTGACATTGTGTATGGCATTTTTATAAAACTTAGATATGGTTTGGCTCAATCAAATATTGTTTACATACTCTTTCCAAATATTTTTTAAAATCATGATACAGCTTCCCGAGAAGTGCAGTGTATTTTGTTCTAATTAGGCCCTTGAAGATTGTTTGTTTCTTTGTTTTAAATCCCTTTTAGAATTGTTGGGATGAAAACATTTACATGTATGATTTAAACATTTGCCCGCAGAAAGTCTCCAAATTTAGACTTGTACTCGACACTTTTTGCCATTGAGCAGCGAGGGATCTTTTTCATGCTAGCATTTACTGCGACACTAGAGCTACATTTTACACTCTCATTGGAAGGACCGGTCTCAACGTTCCGCATTGGGATTTGAACCTGTGACTTAGAACTAGCTCTTTACTTCGGGACTCCAAAACAAAATGTACGCGTTCTAGAACCACTGCACAAATCGAGGCCCTTGAAAAAGTACATTGCATGTCTGTAAGCATTGGTTTGAAAAATGATACTCGGACGTCCGGTTTTTGCGTATCTGAGAATCTTGTCTTTATTGATTAAATATTTGATTTAAAAAAAATGTGTGAGATACGGTATTTCACTAGTTCAACTGAATATAGTTGTTTATTAATTTACCTTAAATTTTGCTTTTAAATGGCATTTGTAATATATTCTGTTTACAAATCGCTTTCTTTTTTACTTTATATTAAGTCCATTAAATTTCAGAATGTATTTTCAAAGCTGCTGGCAGAACAAAAATTATTTACCTACTTACCTACCCAGCTTTAGATTTTAGGGTCGGGTTAGGGGAAACAAAGATATTTTTAATGATGGCCTCAGCCACCACATTCTTGGAAATTACAATTTTAGATCCCCCCCCCCCCCCCCCCAAAGATAATAAGGGGAAGAAAATGAAACTAGACATTTATATTTATTAAGTATATATTTTTTTTTAAAAGATAATAGAAAAATGTTTATGTTGCATGGGTTAATGGCATTTATTGTAAAAAGAGATTGAACTCCAAAGGTAAATCACTAGATTTGTTTAATTTTCTTGCAGACAGATCGAGTTAATGCAAAAAAAAAAAAAAAAAAGAAATTAAAAAAACCCAATATAATTGCAATTTGTGATGAAGTCTTGCTGTGGTATCCTTAGCAATTTGTTTCAAATTGTATACTAAAAATTGAAGTATTATTTTTTCATATTCATTCAGATTGCTTTGTGTGCAATTTGTGGGCAAGTTAGAGAAAACCTCTCATTACAAATACAGTATTTTATTTATAGTCACATTTCTATGGTATTAGAGAAGTTTAATGGTAAATATAGTCAGGTCCGATGTATGGTTCCTATGGCAACTGATTAAAGCTTGGAAGCAGTGTACCAGGTGGATCAAGAGTATTGGCCTATAAACGGAATTCTTTACCCAGACAAGAGATGTCAGATTTCTGGATACTTAAAGATACACAAATAAATTTGGGGCTTGATTCTATTACTTGATGTTTCAGTATGATATTTACATAGAAAAAAAAATCTTGTATGAAATAAATGATATATAAAAACAAGAACTGTCTGAAATGTTAAATATTTTTAATAATCCCTTTTTCCAATGATTTGATACACATTTCAATTAGCCATCCATTTACAAAGTTTTGGTACCGGTATATACATTCAAGTAATATCTCGTCAATGACAGTGTGTATAGTATGTGTAAATTATTTATTTTTCTGTCCTTATAGTGACATTAAAGTTCTGCATTCTAGACTATAATGATATTTTCTGTGCTAACTGATCCACAAATTAAATACAACTTTTTATTTAAGTAGATATCATTTCATCTCTTATTAGTTGGATATGGATTTAAAAAATTATGGAAAATGATTTATGGGAAAATAGCTGTGTACATTGGATTGATGATAATCAGGTACATTTACTAAAAAAATGAAAATATACAATGATTTTTATTCTCTAAGCTGTGTTTATCATTTTTATTTTATTATCAAATCATATTTTTTTTTAATCTGAGAGACATCCAGAAAAGGGATGACTGTACAGTACTACAATATTTGCAAAGTATTTTCCCAAAAAGGAATGCATATACATCATGTTTATATCTTTGTATTGAACTAGCTTTGACATTGACATTATATATATGTCCTATCTTGTTGTTTCTTATCCCTTCCCCGACCCTAAAAAAGTGTGTGGCCACCATATCTCAATCAACTATCTCTATAAATTGATTTTTAAATACTGTGTACAGGGTTATTTTTGCCCTTTCACACTTGCAAATACTCACTGTTTTGCCCCATTTTAATTCGCCCAGTCACAGTTCTGTTTAAGAATTTATACTGTCTTCTTTGAATTCGCCCCGTCTTAAATTCACCCACTTGTGTGTAGGGCGAAAGGGGCGAAAATAAAACGGAGATGAAATTTTCCCTGTATACAGTAATTAATGAAAATAAATTTTCTGGGTGCACTTCTGAAAAGGATTCTTTGGCTTTCATCTGGATTTGCCTGGGGTGCACTTTGGGTTCCCTCAGGCTGGTTTAAGATTTGCTCGGTATCAACTCTAGGCACCCAAAACAAACATGGAAAGCAAATCCAGGTTTGGCTGGGGTCCGTTTTCTTCTAGGTTGTGTTTAAACAGTTCTATACCTCTGGAATAATTTACACTTGCACCTTTACTACAAAAACACAATAAAATAAACTTCTGTTCTGTAGGTTGCACGTCACTTTTATTTCTAAACTGATTTCCAGCATACAATGTAATTAGGTGACCCGTTGGTAGAACAGTTAGGGAGGAAATATTCAAAGAATCTAAAAGCTCACATTATTGGAATGTCAGGAAATGGTCATTAATAACACCATACGAAGCTGGGCTTAGGAAGTCTTGTAACATTTATGATATTCCTTATAATAAAATAATTGTTTTATGTGCATTAGTATTCCATTTTATTTCAAATTTGCCACTCGGGAGTTCGTTTCTTCATTGATTGAGAAGTAATGATTGTAAATTGCAGAAAATGGATGCTTGAAATCATTTGTCACAAAACTTCATAGCTTTCATTGAGAGGAATTGTTGTAACTTCATTATTAATAAGACTTTATTGCTTCAGTGGGACATCTCTCTTGCATCATCTCTTGTTTGCATTTTTTGTGAATTTGATGAGTTTCTCTATTTATAGTTGGCCCCTTCACAACTGTAAAGTGTGTTAATTTTTTTCCTTCTACAAATATTGTACAGATCCAGTCCACCAAAATGCCAAATGTGAGGAAATTTGAATTGAAATAATTTTTGTCTAATGACCTATAAATCTTCCTTGCAAAGAAAAAAAAATAGCTTCTGTACAACCAATATATACATCAAAAATCTTCATGTCATGTCAAACTATCTTTGGTATATGTAGTATGTACACATTTTTCAAAGGATAACATTTTTTAAAGTCACATTTCAGTTTTCATGGTTTTAAATACTTTTAACATTCCAGTCAATGGAAATTAATTTGTTTTTCTGTACCTATAGTCCTAGAATACAGGATTCCAAAACTATAAAAATCCAAACAAAGATGTACTGCAGGGTCCAGTAAATGTTCAATCAAGCCCCTATCCAAACTCCTCACAAAAAAAAAAAATAAACTACTGAAGAAGAACAAATTCAGGTGTACTATGCTACATATTCAAGAAGTGGTATAAATCAAACCTGGATTCTCAAAACTTCAAAGAATTCTTGGAAAATTTAAAATCACATTTTCTTTTTCAAAAATCAATATCATCTAAACATGACTTTTCAATGCTTTATTCAACCATTCCTCAAATGAAGAGCTGACTTTTTAACACCCATTTCCATATCAACTAAAATATTTGACAAATGGAATGATTTTAGCTTTTCCATTGACTGCCAACTTACCCTATTTATGTACACGTAGTAATATTTCACAATCATCTGCATATGGTGTTAATGTCTACAAACTGATTCAATAATCAAGAGCATGTTCTGAGCACAATCAGTTTTTAAACCAAGACAGGCTACTGACAAGTAAGTTGATGATACAGGGTTTACAATTATCTCATTTAAAGTCGGCATTTCACAAAGTCTATCTTCCTTTTAATGACCTTGTTTGCAAATGCAACCTATCATTGGGGTTTCTTTTTTACTAACGTGTTTCCCACCAATTGTTAGTACAAGTTTCACACCTCCAACAAAGGGTTTTTGATGCCACCAAATCACTTGGTACACTCCAAGCCCAAGCTTCATGGCTGGATGACTATGCCATTGTGTGAATAATTATTAAATCTTTCATTATCAATGATAGGTTACAATCATGGACACAGGGCAAGGTCACTAAACAATGAATGTTGGACCTGATGTGCTAAACAGTTAATAAAATCTATAGAATTAATAAACAAGGAAAAAAGATCTTTTTTCCCTTCCCTTGTCTTTCTTTCTGAATTAATCAACTTTAGCCAAAATTAAAACATTAAAAATTATTTAAATTAAAAAAAAATTAAATTAAAACAGAAATTTAAGAAAAGTTTAGTAATTATTTGAATATTTAGGATTTAGCAATTACACGACTATAACTTACAACTAGAATTATATCTCATCAAAAAGTGCAAAAAAAAAGGTTACTCACCATCTTGCCTTCGATTTTAATTAACAGATTAAGAGGACACAGCAAGAAGTCAAAATTTGATTTTTTGCAAAGTTCAAATACAGGGATATTCCTATATTGCTCAAGTAGTGTGTGAACTTTCCCTGTAATTGTTGTAAGCCGAGACAATCCAACCATATACAGATTTTTTCCCTTTTTTCTGTTTTCGTTTTCTGTGGAAATCTGTGCTTTTCAAGAGCAATTTATCCATTTTACCTCTAAAAACAAATCTTTACTAATGTCCACAAGTCCCCTGACTTAAATCCCATAAAAATGACATGAATATCTTCATACTGAGATTTTGAATCTATATATAGAAATGAACTTTATTGTGTTTGAAAACTACTCACTGTAGACTGTCATCTGACCTGTTGCAGATAGGTATATATTACCCTGAGGGGTATAATTATCACATCTGGGCCTGTACAAAATGGCAACAGTCAGGATCAAATCATCATTATCTTGATTAAATAACAAGAAACACACAAAGAATTGTAATGAAATAGATAGAGACACAAAAGGTTTAATTTCTCATGTGAAACATGTATTAAGTATGTTGTTAAACTTTTCCCTCGCCATTTGATTTGGTCCCTCGCTTCGCTCGGCACCAAATCTCATGGTGCTCCGGAAAAGTTTACCAACATATACTTAGTGCGTTGTTTTTGTACAGTTTTGACTATGGACTTCTTTATTTACCCGAACAGTACAAATGGTTCACAGCAGGTGTTCAAATCTTGTGTTTCCAGAGGTCTGCATGTGTTTTTGTCCTGTTCATGATTCAGATTGTTTCCTGGATCTTTGATCACTGTTAACCTCACCTTTTTCATACATTCAAATTTATCAATTTATCATATCAGCAAAATAACACAGTTGTACTGGCTTTTGAGATTTTCAGCTTGTGGTTTCCATGCTGGAGTGGATAGAAATCATAGAATTTATCTGTACACATGTAGAGTAATATGTGTTTGGATTGATATAGCTTTTATATTCCAAGCAATTTGACATTAAAACAGGAGGGATATTAATGTCCTAATACAGAAGAATAAGAAAAGCTTTTAGAAGTTTTAACTGTACAGGTATCCCTGTGACCTAATGGAGTGGCCCAGGAGTCACAGCAGCTTCAAGTCAAGACACTTATAAACAAACTTATTACTTGCTTTAGAATCATATTTTTTTCATTGATCAACCATTTTAAAAATATCTTAAATTCTGTTCATACATGGCAATACTATGAACATTTAAGTCAAGGCAAACCACTTTGGCGTTCAGCCTATGGACCCAATGGGGATCATGATCGATGCAGTTTAATTCAATATTGGTAATTATAAGATTGAGTGTTTGTTCTGGTTGTGTTAAAGGTCTGGGAGTTCTATATGACTGTCTGATCTGTAAGGGTTACATACATCACGCTTCTCAGCACTCTCAACTCTAGAAATTCATGACATCTCAGTGTCACCTCCATTGCCAGCATTAGCACCTCAACCTTCAGCCCACTATTATCCATCTTCCCACATGGAAACCGGCAAACACATTTCAAGATCCAAGCTTCTACAGCCAGGCGATAATTCTTCATTCTCCATTTCTTCAGATTGCAGTAATTGGACCTATTTATCTCAAAGAGAGTTATTTTTCCATCAGAGTTCTAAATATCACTTTAAGATTTGAAAATAGTGTGATGCTTAAAGCTGTAAATTTCACTTTACCAATGTTATTCCATTCACAAATGAAAATTTATGGATGAGTCATCAAAGATTTATAGTAAATTCAGAACTGCATTTTTTAAAAAGATTCAACAACTGCAGAACTGTTACAAGTTCTCTGGAAAATCAACTTTAGACAATTCAGGTATTTTATATATATATATATATATATATATATATATATATATATATATATATATATATATATATATATATATATATATATATATATATATTCTTTTAATTTTTTACTTCAGTACCTTTTAAAAGGTCTCTGACCCTGGAATGTCACTCAGCTTTTTGATAACTGGCTTTTCACAATCACTGTTTAGAACTGTTAAAAAAGTGAATGAATAACAACATATATGTTTAATTAACAGCTGATATCATGTGACAAGTGTCACTGCATGTGAATGGAAAGTAATTTCAATGGGTGGATCTATAGCTTTCTGGTATCTTTGTCCAAATTTTTATTTCGCAGAGGGCTACATGCAGTTCTGCAGCTACATGTATATTTGATCAAGAGATTTGATTTCTTGATGGATAATTGAATACAAAGGTTCAAAAATGCATTGCTGGTCAAAAAATTTTTAAAAGCTTCATGTTTTTACCAAAATGTTCTCAGATCATTTAGTAAGTGATCAATAAATTCATCATTTACATACATAGTCATCATTTCTTTTGCTCACTTTGTCCAGTCAACCCATGGAAGCTCGTATAATATTTGAAAGTAACAGAGGAAGTGCAGGAATTAGATACCTGTCCCACCCCTCGGGGGGGAGGGGGTCTATGATAAGAAAGTAATAGAGAGGAAATAAGAAACAAAGTAAAAACAATATGTTCCCAAACTTCGTTTATGAAACACAATTTCTGAATTTCGACTTTTCCCAGGAAAAAAAAATTGTCCAGAATAAAGGATATTTTTTGAAAATTTCCTGTAACTTTAATTGACATATGATTATATATAAATTGTGGCTGGCAATTTTGACACAGATAAACCTTCAGCATAGGATTTGCATTAAGATATAATAACTTAATGATCCAAACATGGAGTATTAAAGCACAGACCAGGATATTATAACATTATACAGTTATAATAAGTCCATTTCCTTTGTGGATTTTAGGCCATAGTGAGGAACCAGGATGAATTCCCTAATACAGTTGCCATGACTCCAGAAAACATTTTGTTAAACATCAACCAAGACGTAATTACATGTAAGTGAGATGACATATGGCCTAGGTAGAAAGGTATTATTGTTACATCTTGCTAACATTAGACTGAAAATTATTACACACAAAAAAAAAAGTACTTTAGATCATAGACCACCCACTCTCATAAACTTTAAAGAAATAATCTTCCAATTTTTTTTAAGAATTACTTATATTGTAGATGTACTTTTTTCCATGTGAGATTAATTTACGATTTGTATTTGGTCACATTTATCACAGCATACTTAAAGTGCAATCAAGACATACACTGGCAATCCAAAAAATCCGCGTAATTTTCTACCTGCAGATTGAACACAAATTGTGATTCCGCAGAATCATGACCCCATAGAAAAAAAAGGACCTTTACAGTAATTAATATCGTATGCCATTTCTACAAATAATAATGTTGATGACGTATACAATGTACATGTACCAGTAACTTTATTCCTAGATGATCATTCCCGAGTGATTCTCCATGATATACCAGAGGACGAAGGCTGTTCCGACTACGTAAACGCCAGCTACATTGATGTATGTACAACTCACATTTTTTAATATAGGTACATACAGTATAACAGCTACATAAATGTATGTATCCCACACATTTTAATATAGGTTATTGCTAGGTAGTTTAACAGCTACATTAATGTATATATCTTGTAACCTCACATTTTATAGACTACTGTATATACCGGGTTTTTTAGCAGGGCAGTAACTGGTTTATTTTAGCAGTTTGGTAGTAGTACATGTAATATAATTATTTTATTTTTGAATGTAAATATGTATGAGACAAAAAATGTCTGATTTTATTTCATATTTCATCATTGTTATATCACAATAATGAAAAAAAAACTGTAGACTTGGAATTGCAGCCACTACCCTCAGACATCCCCATGGAAACTTTTATCAGATTTGATTGTAAACACTAGTCCATCAATGTGACAACCATCCTTATTGTAATAGCTGTTTTATGTCTTTTTTTCTTTTGTTTCCCAGGGTTACTGTCAGGATAAAGAGTACATAGCAACGCAAGGTAAGGGCCGTACATCTATATCTGTCAAACCGCCAATCCTATTTGGGTGCCCAGGAAGCCATTCTTCACTGGGTAGCAGTCAACTTCCAGCTGCCTTCTGTTTATGCAGTTGTTGTTTTAGATAAAGTTGTCTGGAAGCCTGCAGGAATTTTAGACTGAAGATTAGATAATTGTTCTGTCATGTTCGTTATCAGGAGAGATTACAAGCCCCAGGGTACCTGCTGCAGACAATGCTAATAGTTTCCGTAAAAAGGTTTTCCTATTCCGAACCAGACTAGGAAACTGATTTCATTTTCTTTTGATTAAGTACAAAAGTACCTGTAAATTTAAAAGCTAGATTGTGAGATGACTCTTAGAAGATTGTATTCTTGTGAAGAAAGATTGTACTTGCATGTTTACACTGTAAAGGAATTTTAAGTTTTTAATTAAAATTTCCATATAGATTGCAATAGTGAATCAGGAGGGGTCAGCACATTTGCTTCCTCTTGATTTTAAATGATTATTTAATGTTATACTCATTGAAATACTCTAAGGGAACAATCCTGAGAAATACTACAAACAACATTAAGTATTCTTCCCCTACAGGAATTTCCCCAATTTTCTGTAAAAATCTCTCTCTGAACAGATTAAATCTTCCCAAACTCTGATTCAAAGGTGGAGATGCAAATCCTTTAGTCCCCAGCCATTATTTTTTCAACATAATAATAGACTCAATGGTATGTATTGTATTTCATTCTGTCTTGTCACGGCCAAAGGACCCCAACTTCTTAGATCCCCAACTGATTTCCTACATGTAATATCTAGAAAAAGAGGTTTCAGAAAGAGTAGCAAAAGCTTAAGTTATCCCTGAGTTTAGTTGTTAATGAGAACTTCTGTTGGAATTTAAAAAAAAAAAAAAAATCATTTTTAGCTCACCTCGATGAAGTCGAGATGAGCTTATGCTATACCCCTGGCGATGGCGTTAGCGTCAGTGTCCCGGTTAAAGTTTTAGGAGCAAGTCTATTCCCAAGTAACTATAAGCCCTACCTGGACCAAACTTGCATGGATGATGCATCTAGGGATGGACACTACCAGACTTGCTTCGAATGCTGGATCTGACCTACATTTTCCAAATGAGTAACCATGACAATGTGTTTGGAGTAGCTCTATAATTATATGGCCTGTTATGATTTAACTTGCTTAGATGGTGCATTCCAGACTTGCTTCGGATGTAGGAAATGAAAGACATTTTCTTGATTAGTGACCAGGTTAAAGTTTTTGGAACAGGTCAATTCCCAACAAACTGTAAGACCTACTTACACAGAACTTGCATGAATATTGTTTTCAGGATGCACACTAACTATAAAGAAAATATGATGTGAGATTTGCATTACTTTTACTGATAACATTCGTCGAGGTGAGCTTCATAATCTTTGATTACCTATGTTTGTGTACTAATTTGTGATGTATGGAATGTGGATATTGGCTCAGTGGTTAGAGTACCTGACTGTAATATGGGGGTCCAGGTTTGATTCCCCATCCAGCTGTATATTTTCTTTATGTTTTCATGAATTTTCAATGTATGTTATTCATTCCTCCTTTCCATACTACAAATGGTGCCATTGCTCACCTGCATGGGTCAGGCATTATATGTAATTACTAAGTTCTGACAAGGTGAACTTGTGTTGTGTCTTCAAGGGTGAAGACTGTTTTAATGGGGAGGAATGTAGTAATTTTGGCTATATGGACCATTGATATCGATCTGTGTAGCTCAGTACCTGACTAAGTAATACAGGGGTCTTGGGTTTGATTCCTAGTCCAGCCATACATTTTAGTTATGTATGAATTTTCAGTTATATTTATTTATTCCTCCTTTCCATACTACATTCGTGTCTTTGAAAATGTGAGAATTAAACCAAAAAGAGAGAGCAGTCACTTGTTTTCTTTAAAATTTTAAGAAATTTAACAAATTTAACAAGTTTTACTGTCTTACCTTTCAGGACCTAAACAGAAGACCGTGCCTTCCTTCTGGAATATGGTGTGGCAGGAAGGGGTTCACTGTATTGTCATGGCAACTGGTCTCTTTGAAAATGCCAATGTAAGTCTGAATTGTCTTACTGGAGTATTCAGTTTACTAGATTCATTTCTTGCATCATAAAAGTTTCTTTCAAACTGGTAGTGCAAATTAGCGTTTCTGATTTGTTTAGTTTTTAACTCGTTATTAAAACAGCAACAATGTGACAAGTATTGGGGTGATGTCTTCAGCATGCACAAGTATGTCAAACATGGAAACATCCACATCTGGCTTGAGTCTACTATGGAGATTTCACAACTTACAATCCGTACCATCCGGATCCAAAGGGTAGGTTTGTGCTATATTACATATCTGTTCACAACTTTACATGTTTTAAGTATTATTAAATTTTTACCTTAGTATATCTTAATTCTACACCAGGAAGGTGCATCTACTCAGAGAGTTGTTAAGCACTTTGAGATGATTGGATTTAATGATGAGGGGACAGATGCTGGATTTGTGTTAGATTGTAGGCGTAGAGTCCATGACTTCATGTTGACAGCTACTGGCCCAGTTCTGGTTCACTGCAGGTAAGATCTCAGTAGGGTTGGCCCAATTATGGGTTCACAGCAGGTAAGATTTCAGCAGGGTTGGTCCAGTTCTGGTTGACTGCAGGTAAGACCTCAGTGGGGTTGGTCCAGTTCTGGTTCACAGCAGGTAAGGTCTCAGTGGGGTTGGTCCAGTTCTGGTTCACAGCAGGTAAGGTCTCGGTGGGGTTGGTCCAGTTCTGGTTCACTGCAGGTAAGATTTCAGTAGGGTTGGTCCAGTTCTGGTTCACAGCAGGTAAGGTCTCAGTAGGGTTGGTCCAGTTCTGGTTCACAGCAGGGAAGGTCTCAGTAGGGTTGGTTAGTTCTGGTTCACTGCAGGTAAGATATCAGTAGGGTTGGCCCAATTATGGGTTCAAAGCAGGTAGGATTTCAGCAGGGTTGGTCCAGTTCTGGTTGACTGCAGGTAAGATCTCAGCAGGGTTGGTCCAGTTCCTGTTCACTGCAGGTAAGATCTCAGTAGGGTTGGTCCAGTTCCTGTTTACAGCAGGTAAGATCTCAGTAGGGTTGGTCCAGTACCTGTTCACTGCAGGTAAGATCTCAGTAGGGTTGGTCCAGTACCTGTTTACAGCAGGTAAGATCTCAGTAGGGTTGGTCCAGTACCTGTTTACAGCAGGTAAGATCTCAGTAGGGTTGGTCCAGTACCTGTTCACTGCAGGTAAGATCTCAGTAGGGTTGGTCCAGTACCTGTTTACAGCAGGTAAGATCTCAGTAGGGTTGGTCCAGTACCTGTTCACTGCAGGTAAGATCTCAGTAGGGTTGGTCCAGTACCTGTTTACAGCAGGTAAGATCTCAGTAGGGTTGGTCCAGTACCTGTTTACAGCAGGTAAGATCTCAGTAGGGTTGGTCCAGTACCTGTTTACAGCAGGTAAGATCTCAGTAGGGTTGGTCCAGTACCTGTTTACAGCAGGTAAGATCTCAGTAGGGTTGGTCCAGTACCTGTTTACAGCAGGTAAGATCTCAGTAGGGTTGGTCCAGTACCTGTTCACTGCAGGTAAGATCTCAGTAGGGTTGGTCCAGTTCCTGTTCACAGCAGGTAAGATCTCAGTAGGGTTGGCCAGGTTCTGGGTTTACAGCAGGTAAGATCTCAGTAGGTGTGAACTCCCTATTTCTCTTGATGAATTCTAATGAAGTAATAGGTCAGATCTAATATAGATTGATTGGTTTAATTCAAATCTTTATGCACACATAGATTTAAGAATCATTATTTCTTTTATTGTGCATATGTATTTTATTCTGAATGTAACTTGTTCACTGATAAATTGAAAATTAGAAAACAAATTAAAATTTTTGTTGCAAAATATATGAATTGATCTGTTCATCTCAGAGTTTACTTTTTTAATAAAAAAAGGCTTGCTTGAACTAATTGGACAGTGCGTCTGCATAAGTACTCAAGTATTGTATTGATTTTGGCAAATTTTCTACAAGAAAAACCTGCTCTTATTTTTTAATGTCATTTCTGTACCTGATTGGTTGATAATTAGATCTTATGCATGTACTTGAAGCAGAATAACTGGAAAATTATGTGTTTGCTAAAACAAAATTGGAAGAAGATTAATTTCTTAAATCAGATTTTCATGATGCACTGATTTATATTTAACCAAGTTTAGCTCGGTAGCAAAATGTGACAGATATTTATCTTAATTAACAAGAATCCAAAGTGGATTTAATCTTTCTTAATCATATACTTCCAATCTAATATAGTATATATATAAGTAAGTAATTTAACCTCTTATATTATGTGCGTTATTCCTCAGAGTTTAGATTAAAGCTGATTTGATAGATAATTTCGTTCTCCTATTTCCCAGATAGGTCTTGTCTTGTGTATCTCGGTAAAACTTGTTTACAGCAAATGAAGATTGAATAAATCTATTTTTTTTAACAATTAGTAAGGAAACAATAAGTTATTTTAACTCAGGGTTAACAAATAATGAATATATATATATATATATATATATATATATATATATATATATATATATATATATATATATATATATATATATATATATATATATATATATATAACAAGCAACACTTTTTCATTTCCTTAGCAATGCTCTAAAACTATGATTTTGCTTCTTATTCCATTTTATAATTAAGTTAAGAAGATTCTCTACTTCCTTGTGGATGAGATGAAAATTATTACAACAAAAAATGTTTTCATTGTAACTAGAAAGAATAATACCAAGATAAGCCTGTCTTTGCTGTCAATAATGGTCTTTTTATGTAACTCTGAGTCTCTTGATAAAGATTTGTGAGTTTGAACATGCCTATCCAATCGACATTGGCGGAAATTTTCATTCTCTGTTAAGATGTGATCTGAATGCTCAATGGTGCGGATGAGGAATAGTTTTAATATGAAGGCTTATGTTCTTACGGCTGCAGACATTAATCACCAATAACCATGATTTACACACGCTTGTCACCAAAAACCATACTTCTTTTGTGTCATGTTAGGTGGACAATCCCTTGATCTGGTGGCATGTGACTAGTAATATTTCCTCATCCTTAACAAATTAAAGTCCGCCATTGTGATAAGGCATTATTTATTTATTCAGCTAAGTTTCCCCTGTTGTCTAACGTGTTTTAATTTGCTAATGTTGCTTTCTATATTTCCCATCTATAATGATTCATGTATAGATTGTGCACCCAGTTTACTGGGGAACTGAATTATTGATAAGTTTTGTTTTAGTGTCAATGCTTTCTAGAGATAAAAGGAGGTAGATATAAACATTCCTGGTCCCAGAAGTCACTGGTTATTTGTCATATCAATCCTAATTGAGGGAAAATTCATTTGTAAGAGTTCCATAATAGAAAAAAATTCTACCAAGATTTCAACAACATGACCACAGAACTTTTAAATTACATTACATGCACACAACTAACTGTATACATGTATTGAATTAAGTAGTTTGTGGATAGTTGCATGGTTAAGATTTTTACATGCATTTATATGTAGACACAGATGTACAAATTATGATTCCTTAATGTCTGAAACCTCAATAAAAATGATTATTGTAAACTATACCGGGGTTTTCAATCTATCAGGAGCAACAGGGGGCGATTTATGGCTGTTTCATTGTTGGAATTTGCTGCTTCAAATTTTGTAATTGGCAAAATAAACTGCTGAAGATCAAGTTTTTCATCGTCGGATACCCATGGGTGATCTCATCTTTTACTCATCACCCATGGGCAAACTTGCCGAAAAATTGTTGTATGTAATTTATAAGTGTTGGTCATTTGATTGGCTGCTCCTCAGAGTCACAATGGCAAATCAACAAATTAAAGTTTACATTACTTTTGTCACCAATGACAAAAAGTTTTCTGTAGTTAACACACAGATTGCAAATAAATCACACTACTGGAAATAATTCTAAAACTGCCTCTGTAATTGGATAAATTCACTCTTAACTTCAAAATTATTAAAAGCTCAGTATACTATGTTATTTATATTTAAAGGATGCAGCACAATGTTTTAAGTCTGTGTTCCTATCTATCAAGTATTTAGAATTTACCTGTGTGACTTTTTCTCAGGTGTGGCGGGGGTAAGACTGCTGTTTTTATTGCTGTGGATTACTGCCTTAAGGAATTGGAGGCTGAGGGTCATGTGGATGTATACAGTGCAGTGCTTCATCTCCGCAAGTTCAGGAAAAATATGGTTCGAACACTGGTAAGGAAGCATCATACAGTCAACTAAATAAAACAAAGACTGAGAAAGAATAAGCTGTTTCTGGCCTGATTTAACACTTTGTGGTAATTTTGTTGTTTTTTGTAAAAGTTTCAGTATCGCCTGATATACGAGTGTATAGCTATGTATCTCCAGTGTGGGATAACAGTAGTGCCCGCAGTGCAGTTCCCTGCTGTAGCCTCACGGTTATCTGTAAAAGACCCAAGAACCAGGATGCTGGGATTTGAGAAGGAGTTTCAGGTACATTTATAAATATGACATAATTTGTATCCTTTTTATCCTGAAATGTATCATCTTGACTGACAAAATTGATATTGTCTAGATGTGTAAATTTATTTTATTTACATTTGGGAGTATTGATAGAACATCTGTTAATGATCAGCCTACCAAAAATCAATTAGAGTTACAAATATCCAAATTAACATTGTATAGTGTGGGTTGATATTTTCCAAAAATAAAAATGGTGATGTAAATTATATAATGCTTCAGTCAAACAAGATCAGATGTCACTATTTATTGCAAAGCTACAGCATCATATTTAGACAACAGAGTTTTAACCATCGATTTTTATATGTGAAAAGAAAACAGAGTATATCTCAGGGGACGGCAGAAAAATAATGAGTTTCTCTTTTTATGATCGTGATTAATAAAGCAAAAAAAAATAAAGGCTGAGAGAGATGTAATGATAGAGTGATGTATCTTGTCTTGATTAAGAATTCTACCGATTGCTTGCATGTTTTTCCAGACCCTGAAATCTCAAGTGACCAAATTAAGTATTGGAGACTGTGCTGGTGGCCACAGATCAGAGAATCGCTCCAAAAGCCGTGATATCATGCTCCTTCCACGTGAGTATCAAATTTATGGTGGTGTGAAGCTACGGCCCCCAGGGGCTGTCGAATTAGATTTTATTAGTGGAGGAAAAAGGGAGGGGGTAAAGAAGTGAGAAGGAAGATGGCAAAAAATTCTGTTTAGTTTTGAGGGAATTGTATGTCTTGCTTTGTTGTCCTTAGGCAATAGAATCAGGGTATAGCTATGATGGTCCCAGTCCGCCATTGTTGTTTCCATGCATGCTTATATACTGATGTTCTGTACCATATGATACATATTGTAGGAATTATTACAAAGTAGAAATGTTAAACTTTTATTATGTAAAATTTATATTGCAAAAATTTGGCCATATTTTTAAAATGTGTTGTTAAATCTAAAAGTTTTGAACTTGGAATGTTTGCTTCAATTAGTGTATTGATTGTGTTCTTAGTTCCTCCTCTAATCCATACCCAGTACTTGAAATAGAAAACTTACATTTATTGTTTAATATTTGATGAGCTTTTAGGAGCCTCTGGTACAATTTGAATCATTGATCATAAAATGCTGTCAGCTGCAGCTTTTAAAATTTCTCTTTGCAATCAAAACAGATTACCGGACTACAATGGCTGCCACTTAGAAGTAGTCTCCCAGAATATTGTGAACTTTGATAATTGATTTATTGTCAGAGAGAGATTATATTTTAGTGTCTGTTAAATGAGACTGAATGGCTTGTATCCATGCTATTAAAGTCATAAATTTTTAAATTATTAGAGAGTTTAATAATGGATGTTTGTTTTTAATTAGCTGAACGAGCTCGCCCCTACTTGTTAACTGCGGAGTCCAGTGAACATGCTACAGACTTTATTAATGCTGTTTATGTTGATGTAAGTAGCTATATTTATACAATAGGAATTTGAAGTGGGATTGACATATATACATACAGAAGTATATAAAATTATAAAATTCTGTCCAGATTCATTTTATAAGACGATTAATATCCCATTTACTATTCTTTTTTTAACAAAACTTAGTAGAATGTTACTTATATTTATACCCGTGCATATGGTATTTGTCAGAATTTAATTAGTTGTGTCTTCTAAAGGTTACCTATATATAACTGTCATGCCAGAAGTGTAAAATTCTTGTCTTGGACATTAATTATTTTGAAATCATGAAACTTTTAAAGCCTATGCTTCTACAAAGGTTGCTTCTGACAGAAGGTGCAGGATATGGCCCTGTAACAAGGTCAAATGGACACTAGCTGCCATGATTAGTACAGAAATGTAAAATCTTTGTTCTGGTTATAAGCTTGAAACAGTGGAGATTTAATGCAGATACATATCACTGTTACCCAAAAGTCGAGCCTTGGCCATTTTCCTTTACGTACAGTAAGATCAAGGTCAAATGATACAGACAGGTAAAATATTAAAGGTTTAGGAAGTGTAAAATTCTAAAAGACATAACTGTACATTAGAGGAATATCAGGAGGTCATAATTGGCAAACACATTGCTTATGATCTTGGAGATGTATTAGGAATGTAAACTGTGGTCATTGAAATGTTCAAGGTCAGTTGAGTCCAATGTCTTGTTTGACTTTTTAATGCAGTGAAATTGGAAGATTAATTGACATAAATGATGAATATGATTATGGGAGGTAAAGGGAAGCTAACAACATTTGCCTGTTTATATTCAATTTTAATTGTTAAAAGCCATAGGAATTTGCAGTGTGAATTTTTTGGGGGGTGGAGGGGATATAAGATGTAGATTTTTTTAGAACTATTTTAAATAATCCCTGGCCCCAGGATCATGAAACAAACTTAGACTTAAGTCAAATTTTTAAATTGCCTGTAAAATGTTTCATAATTGTCAACTTTATCTCTAAATTTGCAGATAGCAACACTTTCATAAAGCAATATTGAAAAATATTTTAATTTTGGTGTGCTTCACTTCTATAACATTTTAGAACAACATGAAGATTTTGACTTAGCTTAAGCTGTTTCATGATCCTGGGGCCAGGGTTTAGTTGCAGCACACGAGAAAGCAGTAAAAATGCTTATTTTTATTCATTAAGTTTCTCATTCTGAAAAGTTGCTACAAATCATGGATCTTTAGAGATATTTCAGTAACCTGGTTTAGGAGTTGAATTCTTGGTCCACAATCAGAGACTGCTGAAATAAGCAGATTGATAGAATGAAAACAAATAAAGCAAATCAGAAAAATCATATTTCTCCTTATGATTTACTTTAGAAAGAAAAATAACATTTTAAAATGATCTACCTGAACTCCGAAACTAATGAGGAACATCTTGAAAATTCACACTTTTCTACCTAACAAGTTCCTTAGTGCTGGTACTTTGATGCAATGATAAATCTACTTCATTGAAGTTAGGTTAATAAAATATTTTTAGTTTGGAGCACAACAAAAGGTCTGCTGGCTGCTTTAATACACAGACAAGGCCTTTTATCAATTACATTAACTGACTATAGCTTTCATGACCAGGTATCCGGAAACTAGGTAAAAAAAAAAATCGGGTCTGGGGTTCGAGTTGTGACTGATGATTCTAGGTCACTCAGCTGATTGTCAGCATCAACCAATGCCAGGGACTATTGATGCTTCATAAGATATTTATTTAGATGAAAGCTTGGGGGCTTGATTGATGATAGGAAATTATTCTTTATTAAAAGAGAATTTTAAAGTACAAATTATTATTTTAAACCTTGAATGGATTTCTGTATTTTACAGAAACAAAAAAAAAATCCAATAATTGTGATAGTGTCATCTATACAATTCAAATTTCACAAAATTTCGTGACAGTGTAAATAATTACATTTTTAGAAGTATATGCCAAGGTTTTAAATTAGATATGCAGTGAGCCAATATTCTTTGATTCTTAGTATTCTTGTCTAGTCAATATTGGTACATAATTTATGAAATCTTGATTGTATTTCTATTTCAGGGTTATTATCAACAGAACAACTTCCTGGTCACACAATGGCCCCTGCAGCATACCATACCTGATGTTTGGAGACTGGTGTTTGATTACAAAATCACCTCTTTTGTCTTGCTCAATGACTCCAAATTCTCTAGGGTGGGTATTTAATTATCAAATCTTGTCCTTTTTTCAGGTCGAAAAGTGGTAAGGTGTCCAATGTCTGTCTAATTGCTTCTTAAAATTTCTTTTTTCTTTATTAAAAAAAATATGTTCATGAGTGTGTGTGTGTGTTTTTTTTTTTTTTTTTATAATTTCAATAAATTTGGTGAACAAGAAGTCTACATCAGGACACACTGTTGCCATGATTACTAAAAATACAATGATCTGCAAAATCCTTTAAAAATGCTTTTTCCTACAGTTTTGGTGTGTTTCTTGAAGGGCAGTAGCATTGAATATGAAAAATTATTTTTAATATTGCTTGATTTTTATAAGAATAAATCCAGGATTATACATACATGTATATAGACTTGGTCATGATAAGATACTTCTGAACTTCAGTGTCAGTTCTTATGACTAGTGTAGCTTGTGTCTTGGTGATAGGGGATGGGGTTTGACACTGATATTTCAAATTGCATGTATCTGTTATTATTTTAATGTGTTTTTCCTTTTCTCTGCAGAATTATCCTTGCTTTTGGCCAACAGAGCTGGATGAGGAGCAGAAATTTGGACCAATCGGAGTGAAGTATTTAGGAAGCCACAAAGTGTCTCATGTGACCATCAGGGCATTCGCTATCCGAAAAGTACGTATGTCTGTCTGTCTGTTTGATCAAGAAATATCATCCATTATTGGCCTGTTGCTAACAGAAGTAACTTCAGATGTCTCCAGCTTTGAGCTAACATTGCTTCTATTCCTGGCTGTGTTCATTTGGAAGCCTGTTATGCTTTAATTTTGTTAATATATTGCACTATAGGTTTAAATCCAAATTATATTTAGCTAGATATGGTACAACCATATAGTTTTAAAGGAAGTTTATGATAGGTTTTCATTTTCTTCTTTTTTTCTTTGTAACAACAATTTCAAACATATACCCTTCTACTTCTGAGAAATTTAGGGAAGTTGTGTCAATGACAGGCTAACTTGTCTATTAGATTGATAATGAAAGATATAAATATGGAAAACTTAAGTATGACAACTTAACTTTATCAAGAACAAACTTGATGTTTAATTGACATGCATGTGTTATAATGTAGACATTTAACACACTACTGCAGGTAATGTAGCTCAATAACAAACTCACTGAGTTCCATACAACTCACTGTTAAATTATACATTACATGTATAACATATATAACATTTTGTTTTGAACTAATGGTTATGGAGGACAGTATGTATATATATTTTCCTAATATTCCAGCTCCCTAGACTACAGTATGACTCAGTTCTTAAGCATCTAGGGTCAGATGCACTGGTAACCCTTCTGTTTTACTCACTTTTTATTACAAACCTTTTTTTCTCCACTATTTTTCACCTTTTTTTGGCCATATTTGCATGAAGTGGGGAATCAGCATGTAAAGAGTGGCATTCATTCCCCCCTCACTTTTCTCATTATTTTTATACATGTATCATGAATTTACATTAATCTGCTTTATCATAATTTTCATGGCACAGAATTTTTTTTTCACTGTATGATTGAAAAGGCTTGATTGTGTTAGGATTTGTGAAATATTTTCAAAGAAGTTTGATTTTATCATAAAGTAATAATCCACTGGTGTGTATAGATTTAGCCTTTCCCCCCTTTTTTATATTATTGACAATACCATTGAAAAGATTTGATGAAATAGTTTATCAATTTACAAAACCAAAAACTTTTGTAGTTGCTTTAAATATAAATGCTTTAATTTTTTATGTATCTAAGATTTTGTTGGTTCTTTGTTCAGTACCGACCAGACACAGCCTAACAGAAAGTGACCCAAAACTGAAACCCCAGGTTTGCTTTCCATATTCGCTTCCAGTCTGCTAAGACTGACACCAAGCACACAAATTTTTGAATAGTGTACCCTGAGCGAATGCAAAGCAAACTTGGGGTTAATTCACTCTTTGGGTCCCCTCTGGTGTTAGATTGTGTTTGATGGGTACTGTAAATGTATTACTTGTCTTATGTATGTTTATAAAATACCATTTTTTATTGAGTCTATTTAAAGTTTCTTCCTTTCTTCTTTAAATTCATGTACAATTTCTTATTTCTTTTTTTTTTTTATTTCTTTGTATGGTACCGGTATAAAGGGTATTTTCATAAAAGCATAATTGTTTAGTGACAGCTGAAATGAAATTTCTCCGGATTTAATTTTTTTTTCTTTTTCCCCTTTTATCTTGAAGGTATCTGAAAGTAATTTTTGTTACGTATGTTGAAGTTCTATCTTGCAAATCATTTATTTGTTCTTAATGTGATACAAGGACATTGTGCCTAATTTTCATAGGAGTAAATGTATATATATTATTTTCAGAACATAACATGTATACCTCTTGGAGATTCTGGCCAGGACACAACGATTGTTAAAATATTCCAGCTAAACAGCTGGCCTAGTAAGGAGAAAACCCCCTTTTCCTCAAAGTCCCTCATCTATCTGATGGGATTTGTGGAAGAATGGCAGCAGAAGACAAACCCTCTCAATCCGGTCCTAGTTATGTCCAAGTAAGAATTGTCCAAAATAATATAAATAATTGTCTGATTTCAATCAAACTCGGAAAAAATGTAAACTACAGAGATGCATGACTTTATGTATCAGATTTTGATTTTTGACCATTGTGTTTCCATTCTTAGAAAAAAATAGTAATTTCTGTGAAATTCTTTCAAAATGCTTCTCCGCTTAATTTAGTTTCAATTCAGTATAACTTACTTGGTATATAAGAACACTACATGAAGATACATATTTCTCTGCATAAGCTTTTGATTTCGACAAACAGTATTGTCATAGTTACTAGGAAACAGAAGTGTCTTTGAAATTCTTACAAAACCTTCTAATTTTTTGTTCAAATTTCAATAAAACTTAATTGGTATGCAAGTTATACAGGTCGAGGTACAGAGTTCTGTGCTCAGATTTTGATTTAGACAAATGATTTTGCCATAATTGGTTACTAAAAATACTTGGTATACAAGTAGACTGAACCAAGGTTCGTAATTTTATTAAAAGGTGTTGCTATAGCTTATATTGGATTCAAGTCCATATGTTATACTCTATCTTTGCTATAAATACTTACCAGTAGAGCTACAGTCTGGTTGAAGACTGAAAGTGCAGGAATTTACAAAAGGCTAAAAAAAAAATCTATTATATTTCAGGGATGGCCTGACTAGAGTTGGAGTGTATTGTGCGTGTAATTATTGCTGTGATCAACTAAAAGCGGAGGGAGAAGTAGACATTTTCAATGCTGTCCGAATCGTTAAAAAAAACAGACCTGCACTTGTGCCAAATGTTGTAAGTAGTTAAATGTAATCTTTAAATGTTCCCCTGATTTTTATGCCCCCGGATCGAAAGATCCCAGGGGTATATTGTTTTTGTCCTGTCTGTCTGTTTTTCTGTTTGTCTGTTTATCTGTTTGTCTGTTTATCTGTTTGTCTGTCTGTTGTCAACTTTAACCTTGCCCATAACTTTTGATTGGTTGGAGCTATGACTTTCATATTTCACATGTGCATTCCTTGTGACAAGACCTTTCTTTGGGTACCATCATATTTGACCTTTTGACCTTGACCTTGGAGTTTGACCCACTTTTGCAAAATTTTATGAGACTTTAACCTTGGCCATAACTTCTGAACAGTTGGTGCTTGGGGTTTCAAACTTCACATGTGTATTCTTTGTGAAAAGGCCTTCCTTTGGATACCAACAACTTTGACCTTTTGACCTTGACCTAGGATATTGACCTACTTTTGAAAAACTTTAACCTTGGCCATAACTTTTGAACAGTTGGTGCTTGGGGTTTCAAACTTCACATGTGTATTCCTTGTGACAAGACCTTCCTCTGGATATCAACCTCTTTGACCCTTTGACCTTGACCTAAGAGTTTGACCTACTTTTGAAAAACTTTAACCTTGGCCATAACTTTTGAATGGTTGATGCTAGGGCTTTTATACTTCACATATGTAATCCTTGTGACAAGACCTTCCTTTGGATACCAACCACTTTGACCCTTTGACCTTGACATAGGAGTTTGACCTACTTTTGAAAAACTTTAACCTTGGCCATAACTTTTGAATGGTTGCAGCTAGGGCTTTCATACTTTACATATGTAATCCTTGTGACAAGACCTTCCTTTGGATACCAACAACTTTGACCTTGACCTTGATGTTTTACTTACTTTTAAAAAACTTTAACCTTCACCATAACTTTTGAACAGTTGCAGCTAGGGCTTTCAAATTTAACATTTTTTATCTTTTGGCCTGGATTTTGACTTGCATTTGAGAAATTTTAACCTTTGCCATAAGCTGCCATACGGGCGCATCAGTGTTTCACAAACACATCTTGTTTTTTATGAAATGGATTTAAACTCTGCCTTAAATCTTGCATTTAATACTACTAATAATAATGCACTCTACCTGGTAACTTTTGATGAAGATGAGCTTTTTCTAATACAGTCAAACCTCGTTATCTCGAACTCGATGTGACTGAGAAAAAACTTTGAGATATCTGAAGATTCAAGATATCGAGGGTAAAATACTTTTAAAAAATAGGTAGTTGGGACTTTCAAATCACTTCGACATATCCATGGTATTTGAGATATCAGTGTTCGAGATACCAAAGTTCAACTATATTCATTTTATTATTGTTAAAAAAATTTTTTTTCTTGTAGGTGAAGTATATATATTGTTACTCTTAAGAATTCTTTTTCTTTCAGGTGGAGTATATCTATTGTTACTCTTAAGAATTCTTTTTCTTTCAGGTGGAGTATATAAATAGTTACTCTTAAGAATTCTTTTTCTTTCAGGTGGAGTATATCTATTGTTACTCTTAAGAATTCTTTTTCTTTCAGGTGGAGTATATAAATAGTTACTCTTAAGAATTCTTTTTCTTTCAGGTGGAGTATATCTATTGTTACTCTTAAGAATTCTTTTTCTTTCAGGTGGAGTATATCTATAGTTACTCTTAAGAATTCTTTTTCTTTCAGGTGGAGTATATCTATAGTTACTCTTAAGAATTCTTTTTCTTTCAGGTGGAATATATATATTGTTACTTTTCAGGTGGAGTATATATATAGTTACTCTTAAGAATTCTTTTTCTTTCAGGTGGAGTATATATATAGTTACTCTTAAGAATTCTTTTTCTTTCAGGTGGAGTATATATAAAGTTACTCTTAAGAATTCTTTTTCTTTCAGGTGGAGTATATCTATTGTTACTCTTAAGAATTCTTTTTCTTTCAGGTGGAGTATATATATTGTTACTCTTTCATTGTTTTTGTGATTGAGATTATGCAAGAAGACAAACCTAAGATAGTGATTACTGGCCCAGCCACTAAGGCGGGTCAGGTGAATCGTGGGTATGATTTCACCAACCACATTTTACCCGAGGAAACTTCCAGTCTAGCTGCCACATCAGACTGGAGTTATGTGACAGCTTTCGATGTCTCTGTATACAGAGATGGCTCAAACCTGGCAGCACGAGGAAGGGTGACAACTAGTGTCTCTCCTGTGTCCCAACTCCAAATTCCTGCAGTAGACAAAACTCCAAGTAGTTCTCAGCCCAACATTAGTAGTCATAGAAGTCTGGAAAACACACCCTCGTCCTCAGAACAGACTGTCGTCTCCAACAGGACTAGACGAATGTCAGAAAGACAGTCGGAGGAAAACAATAATTTGTTAGAGCGCTCAAATTCTAATGGTTCCAGTGTGTATTATTCTAGTGCATCTATAGAGAGTAGTTCTACATGTCGGGCGGAGGGCTACACTGGAAGTAAAGGTGTTCAAAGAAAGGATATTGGCAACTCACGAACACGTAGACCCACTTTGAAACGACAGAATGCAGAGGACATGGTTGAACTCAAATCCATGCAAAACTGAAGCCGATACAAATCTTGAAAATTGTGACAATCTTTGCACCTTTGTAATTCAGCTCATGTTGTTAAAAGTTTTAATAGCATTTTTTTTTATTCCTTGACAACAGTCAGTGCCTGAATTGTTCAGATTAGCTGTTAGACAAGTCTACCATAAAATATATATTATGTTCTAAATTTTAACTGTATTTTTGTGGTTGTGGGGAGCAATAAGCAGAAGTGAAAGATTTTAGATTATATTGTATTAATGCTAAGCATTGATGTATATTTTGTAGTGGGTTAGTTTTAGGTATAGATTAAAGTTTAACTGTACAATATTTTATGTTACAGATATCTTACATTTTATCACTTATGCATTTTTTTATCATAATTGTTTGAATTAGAATGTACTTTAAAGATGGTAATACATTTATTTTACCATGTTTACAAACAATCAGTTTGCATTGTTTCTCAATTTTATCTGTTTACAAACAATCAGTTTGCATTGTTTCTCAATTTTATCTTGGATGCTTGGCAAAAAAGATTTTTTTTTTAGCTTCTTGGGCCAAAAGTTTCAAAATAAGATGTTGCAGCTCACTTGAGCTGAAAGCTCTTGAGCTTTTCTGATCAAATTTTTGTCAGTCTATTTGTAACTTCCAAAGATTTTGACTTCTCAAAACCACTGAGCCAATTTCAACCAAACTTGTCATAAAGCATCCTTGGGTGAAAGGGATTCAAGTTTGTTCAGTTGAAGGGCCATACCTTTGAAGGCGATGTAATCAAGAAAAAAATAGAGAAGATATCTTAAACAATCTTTTTCTCAAGAACATTGGACTAGATGTGACAGCTTCCTGACATAATACTTAGTATAGATTCAAGTTTGATGAAAATCTTCTCAGGAACAGCAGGGCCATGATTAGTCATATAACTATTGAAGCATCTTTAGATAGAGTAGGTTATAGATTGTTCAAAACAGGTAGAGTGGGGCCACAGTAAGGGATTAAAGGGAACATCATTTCAAGAATAGTAGGGCCATTATTAGTGTTATTAAATGCAGACATTCACATTTATTGCAGATTCAAGATTGTGCAAATCATGGCCCCTTGGGGGTAAGGCGGGGCCACAATAGGGAATTGATATTTTAAAAGGAAATTGAGGATTTCATTTTTAAAACATTTTTAAAAAAAATAGTAGGGCCACAACAAATTGCATTCATGTGGAAATATTCCAAAGTTGTGTGATTTCAATTATTTTTCTTGAAATAATAGATCCTGGAATAAGTAGGCTAAAATCAGGGAGCAGTTTTCATCTAGTGCATGTTTACTTCTGCAGAACAGAAAGGCCATGTTAATCATAATGATATTGAAGCATCACCAGGATGTGTTAATTTGTGTGAGCTTATGTCATGACACTTTGAGGCTAGGGCGGGGCCACAATATGGGGTAAGAATTTTTCATGTGAATAAAGATGGATATTTTTTAATCTTGTGATGAAGACTAGTAGGTTCAGTGTAACTGGTTAGCATTGTGGCCCATGGGCCTCTTGTTTTTAAATCTCATCTGTGAATTTGCAACTTAAATTTCTTATTTTATATCATTTAAGATGGCATGCCACACCATAATTATTTTAATGTATGTTTAAAGTATCTCTTTTGACATGAAAGACTAATATATTATGCTCTTCATTATTTCATATGATCTTTTTTTTTTGTATTTCTTCTGAGAAAATGGAAAACTGTAAGACACATTTGAGCTTCAAATTCACTGTTAAATCTATTGATATAATCCCCAGGAAGAAATTAAACTTATAGAAAAGATATATTTTTAAAAGAAATTGAAATGGAATTGTGAAATTTTAGAAAAATTGCTTATTTTCAAATTTGTACCAATCCTGCATGATTGAGATCAAAATGATCTCAATTAAAAATTAATAGGAAAAATTTTGGTAATTTTGATACAGAAATTTTTTGTTACTTGAAAAAAAAAAAAAGAATATTGTGTTATTTTCCAATATGTTAGTAAATGTGTTGAATGTGGCAGTGTTTGATCTAATGTGGCAGTGTCTTGAGAATCTCATTTTTTAATAATTTTTTTTTGCCTTATAAACATATATATTTGAATGCAATATTGCATATCACTGTACTTGGTACAAAGTAAGTTTTTACCATGAAAATCATTACAATGTCTCTTTAACTGTTGTGTTTTATGTGAATCAGATTTTATTTTCCATTCAAGTCTTCCAAATTTCCAAATTCTCATGAAAGCCAAAGATACCATGATTGTGTTTGTTGATCAAATGGTTTCCACTTTTTTCTTGCATTGTTAACAAATCATTCCCATGCATGGCCTGTTTTGTTATTTTTCTTTGTAGAGAGAACTTGTTTTTTTATTCCATTTGTTTAAATTGTACATATGTAATACATTTATCCCTCTTATGTGATATTTTATCATACATTCCATAACCAGAGAATGTTATGCCAATGTTGTATGCTTTAAAAGTCTCAATTTTATGGACATCTTTGGTGGTGTACATGTACAGTAAGTGAATTTCAAGAAATATACAATATATACAAGACAGGTGCCTGGTGTGTCCAGGTGGGTTGAATCTGAGGAAAATCTGATGAATGTTTTATTTAATGGTGTATGGCAGACTGAAACCAAAAGGGAAACACAGAACTCGCTTAAAATCCTAATTCCATGTTATAAGAAATATACACCCCAAACCTCCTTTAATGGTATTTTAGTGGAGGGAAAAAATGTGAAATTTTCTATTGGAATATCAGACACATTGGAAAATTGTGCCTTGTATGTACAATACATACATATACATATATATATATATATATATATATATATATATATATATATATATATATATATATTGATGTTTGCTGTCTCCATTAGGTTCTTGTGACAAAGAAGCACCAAATTCTCTGAGAGTCTGATATGTGGAATCGCATTATCTTTGCTGTTTTTCAGATCCATGCAGATTTCGCTGGACATCCATTTTTCATGTTTATTTGTTGCTAATTCAAGGGTCCACTTAGGAATCTTTGTAATATTTATCACTACCATTGAGTACCTCTTATTTTCACCCAACGACGAAGTAATGCATTGTTGTTAAAGATGTATGTGAATATTATATGGAATATACTATTAATAGACTTTAAAAAGTAATCAAAATATTAAACTTGTTTTGATGTAGCACTACTGGTGTATATTACAACTCACTGGGACAAAATCTCACCTCATTATTGTGGTTTTTATTCGGGAGAGTAGTTGTTATGTGGTATCAGAAGTAGATATATTTGCAGTATAAAACCAAACATGATTGTGGGTATGCTGTATGTGCGAATTATTTTATATTTTTCTACTTGTATTTGGATTTTTATATCATTCAAATATTCTCATATTAATCCAGATTTTATGGATTACTACAATAAAACGATTAAATGCATATTTATTTATTTTTTTTGAGTTTTTCCTCCTTTTTTTTGTACAATACATACTTATGAAGCTTTTTGATTCATACATTATGATGAGAATAAATAATTAAACTAAGGAATGACTTCTTGAACCAAGGTCAAATAAACAAGTTTAGGTCACCAATGGCAGATTGAGAGGGGTTGGGGGGTCAAGCTTGGTCATATCTTTTAAATGAGAGAAGGTAGAGCTTTCATACTGCACATGCATTAATGACATGATCTTTCCAAATGTACTGTGATTTTTGATCTCATGACCTTGACTTTGACCTACTTTTCAAAAATTTTAACTTTAATTTCATGGGTAGTTTTTTTATGCTGTAGATTTAAAATCAGTACATTGACAAAATAATCTTTCATGAGGATGTGAATTGTGGGTTAGGGTATTCTGTCACTGTCATTCTGTATTTCTGTCATAAACTTTGACCTTTATAATAACTTAAACCCGCAGAAGTTTGAGACTCTATTTTTAGCAAAGTTACAGAAACATGTATACGAGTCATTGAGATCTTTATTACTTAGCATTAGCAATCACATTGTCCCTCTGTCCTTGCAATCGAGTCCAGGCCATAACTTGTTAATAAGGAGAAACCCATACTTGACACAAAGTTTTCTTTTGACCTGCCAATGTATCCTGACCTCTACAAAAATGTAAAATTCTTGTTTTGGTCATACATGTATTTTGTAGTGGAAAGAAATTAGAAGATTGTACTTGACATAAAGATTATTTAATGACCTAGGATTGTGTCAAGAGTGACCAGGGTCATTTAGCAGATTCAAATCACTTACAGATGAAGTGTCAAACTTGAGTCCAGTCCATAATTTTCTTTTGAAGAATGATGATTGAAAGTTCATACTTAACAGAGGGCTTACATGTACTTATGACCTGAGGGTTTTCTGACCCTGACTCAAGGTCATTAGTTCAAGTTAAGGGGTACTTTCAGAAAATGTATAATTCCTGCCCATTCCATACCTCTTCACTGGAAAATATTGGTAGTTGATACTTCACTTAAAGATTACTTATGACCAGAGGGCATGTCATGACCTTGAATCAAGGTCATTTTGGCAGTGTTAGGGCATTTAGAATAAGTGTATAATTCCTTTCCTGTCCAAATCTTGTAATGGAGAAAGTTGGAAGCTCATTCTTGGCACAAAGATTTTTTATGTGCTGAGGCAGTGTTAGGACCTTGATCCATTGTCATTTGGGCAACTTCATGGTTACTGGCAGACAATGTATGTAATCCAAGTCTGTCCATCATTAGAAATTGCCTATCTCAGATCATTTGTGTGTATCAAACACATCTTTTTTCTTTAATTCATTGTCCAAACCCTCTGTTGGTTTTTCATCCTGCAATCAAAGCAATAAAATGAGGAACAAATGGAGAGAACAAATCCTAACCAACCGTGGGTTTCCGACAGTATCCTAAATTATAAACTATAGATAACCCAGAAATGCACAACATATAACATTTATTTATATAAAATAAGTTTAACAACTACAATGTATTACAACCCTGGCATAATATATGCAATATTGTCTAAAACACGAGTGTGTGTTTTTGGTGAGCAGCCATTAAGTTCTGGGACTTGAGATGTCAGACACATGAGGGGCCCGACGGCACACAGAAGAGAGTCTAACAGGACTGATAGGCTTCCCTGCACAGCAATCAGACCCTGCAACATAATAATGTTATATAGAGCATATCAGAAGATACACAGAAGGGAGTCTCTAACTGGACCAATAGCTTTCCTGCACAGTGATCAAACCCTGCTACAGAACAATATTTTGTAGGCATATCTAAAGAATGAGAAATAGTACATGTAAACCTACTACTTAAGAAAACATAGGTAATCAAAGATTATATACATTGAAGGAAGCCTCACACCAAATGAATGTTCCTGTAGTGTGCATCCATTGATGCAACATTCATGTAAGTTTGGTATTTGTAGGACTTGGGGGTTACTTGGAAATGGGCAATCTTCAAGACTTTAACCTGGATGCTCATCCAGAAAATATAGGCCAGAAGAAGCAAGTCTGGTAGTGTACATCCCTAAATGCATCATGCAAATGCAAGTATGGTTCAGGTAATGTTTATGGTTACATGGGAATGGACTTGCTCTAAAAACTCTGAACTTTGCATTGACACTAGGGATATAGTTTAAGCTCATCTTCACTCCATTGAAGTAAAAATGAAAAGTCCAAATGAATTATAATACATGTACATGTACTTATACCATATATACACAATGTTATTCAAGCACTTCTATAAAGATACATGTAAATTTATATAACAATTTCTAAATTGGGAAAAAGTTTGTCATGCTCCACTGCATTGTGACTGGACTTACCCTGTGTTCTTGCAGTCTTATTCCTATAATACTAAGAGAATCCCCTACCAACTTCAGATGTGCTGCTGTATCTATAGGCTCTATACCAAGCACCTGCAAGAAAAATTATTTTGTTAAATGTTAATTTAAGTGCATCAAGTACACATATAATATTAAAATAATCCAAAACTTTGAAAACCCACAACATATCTGCAGAAAGACGTCGGCACAGACTAATAATATAAATCCCTCAAATAAATGGGTTTTTATTTAATAGTACCTTAGATGGACTAGTAAATGGTTCATCCGTTAGCTTCACAGGGCCAAGTCCAGGGTTATTATTGGTCGAATGATGTTTTGTAGAGTGGTGTCTTATTGGTGGGTGATAAATAGGGGGCGGAGTATTCGAGCTGCTGGGTAGAGCTGGGGCTGTTGATACGCTGGTTTGAGATGCTGTACTCCCGCCACCTTTGCCTGTCTTTATCAGTAAACCTTTCCCCAGTAATTTACGAGCTTCTCTTTTTGCTTTTCTTTTCCAGGCCTGAAAGTCGAAGTGTAACAAGAGATGTTTGTGAAACACTTATGCCCCCCCCCCCCCCAAATAATTGGAATTTTTCTAAGTCCAAGGGGCATAACTCTGTAAAAAATTGCTCGATCGTACCCATAACAGAACTTGACCTAAACATTCTTAAGATAAATCTGAACACAAAATTTCATTTCAGTATGTGCAACCTCTGCAAAGAAAATGAATGGAAACTGCAAATAATTGGAATTTTTCTGAGTCCAAGGGGCATAACTCTGTCAAAAATTCCTCGATCGTACCTAAAACAGAACTTGACCTAAATATTCTTATGATAAATCTGTGTACCAAATTTCATTACAGTATGTGCAACCTCTGAGAAGAAAATGAATGGAAACTGAAAATAATTGGAATTTTTCTAAGTCCAAGGGGCATAACTCTATCAAAAATTGCTCAATTGTACCCAAAACAAAACTTCACCTAGCTAGATATTCTTAGGAAAAATCTGTATACCAAATTTCATTTCAGTATTTGCAACCTCTGCAAAGAAAATGAACGGAAACTGTTGGTGGACTGACAGACTGACCGACAGTCAGCAGCAAAGCAATATGCCCTCCCTTCTTCTAAGGGGGGGGGGGGGGGCATAATTATCAGATATATCAATACTAATTCAGCGAGTTTTTCTGGGAGTTTTAAGACAGTTTCTATATGTTTAAGATATCATAAAATGGGAAAAAGTAAAAAAAATAGAGATATGCTTACATACATGTAAATATTTACATGTACATGTATATCAAAAAATTTTCACAATAACACAAACATTTTAAAAACATTCCCTACCAAGAAAACTGTTACAATTTGAAATTTGCTTGTCAATATACTGTAAACCAACTTTAATTCATGTTTGAGAAATATCCGGGAGTTTTGAAACCTTGTTTTACTCCATATATCTCTGTGAACTATATTTCATTGTGTGTCTATGTAGAATACTTCCTCAGTTGTGAAAATAAGTTGCCAAAGATATTTTTGAACTGACGAATCATGAATAAAAGTTGTTGGGAATAAGTTGGTTTACAGTAATTCATGACACTAAGTTATGCATTAAAATCAAGTACAGGGTGTTTCATAATATATGTTACATTTTGAATCTTCAATTTGACAAACACAAGAAAAAGATACAGACAAGTGATCTTATCAATTTGATACATGTATCCATAAGATTCATTATGTACAATTACCAACTAAAATATTGAACACTGGACAAAATCTCAAACATTAATGAAAATTGGCAAAATTTCTAATTTAAGTCATTTTTGTAACGTTGAATTTCACAACGTAAAAAGCCCACATAACATTACATTGTTCTAAATGATCTCCACTATTTCAACTACAAATGAAAATTGCTTCTTGAATTTGTTTAACCTTGTCACACATTTTTGCTTAGAGACTTCTCATTTGAAGTTTTACGATCTTTTTGAGTTCATTCAGTATCTCTGGTCTAGGACTGTATATCCTGTTCCTAAAGAACCCCTACAGAAAAAAGGCCCAAAGACTGAGATTGACAAATGCAGAGGTCAAACTCTTTCCTTTGGGTATATCATTATTGAAAATTTGTACGCTAATAACTTCATATCATATTTAAAAGTCCAATATATGCTGGAAATGCTGATATTGCCAGCATAAATTTCTAAAACATCCATCTGACACTTCTCAGGAGTTTGCTAAATTAAGAGTCTCTACTTCACCAATTAAATCTTCGGCTCTTGAAGTCCGTAGGCTTTCTGAAGAACCGTGTCATTTATCGCATTTTGCCCGTCCCTCTCCTTTAGCCTTCTTACTAGCCTTCTGAATAGCATCCTAGAAAGCTTCCATTCTTTTGGAATATTTCCTTCTTCTACAACTTCTGAATGAATGTTGGCGACATGTATTGAAAAAAAAATTGCTTTACAATTCAGCAATATGTTGAAAAGTTAAGTCCATTTCGAAAAATATTCAAATTATGACATTGGTGTTTATGTCACAATTAATCAGTGTAATATCATGATATCCATGACTTTTTCTCATGGAACAAAAATGCAGTATCTGATGTTTAAAATGATATATATTTTGTACTAGAAATATGATAGGTAAGAAAAATAATTAGATTTAAAAATGTAACATATATTATGAAACACCCTGTACATATTCTTATGAAATTTAAATCACATTTAAGCATTCTAGAGGTTGAGTTTTACTTCGATACAACTGTCACAATAACTGACCATTTTGTCTTTAGCTGGAACACTTTGCCAAATTTCTCCTAGTCTTCTACTTAATTGTGCAAAATCTGAAAAAATTATATGCTTAATAGACAAAAGAATATACAGTAAAATTCAGTTATTAGGAAGTCAATGTAAAACTTTATCCTTCCTGTGGTCTCAATATAGTCCTGGAGACCATGAATTGAACAAACTTAAACCTGTACTACTCATGGCTACTTGCACATCAGCTTAACTAAATGTGGTCCAGCTGACAGCTGTTCTTGAGAATTAATATTTCTAAACTTTCTTCTTACATATTCATACACTTTGACACCCCTCCCTTCTCATTCATTCATCTTTTATTTCCTCTATAAAGAGATAGTAGCATATTAGATTATGTACATATTATATAGCATTAAAACAAACAAAAGGAAAATAAAGTGTCAAATATAATGTCAACTACATGTACAATGTCGCTCACAATTGTCCGTGCAACAAATTTACGTGCGAGTATGCCGTGCATAACCTTTGGCACTGCGCACAAGCATAAACTAATAATTTTAAGTTCAGTTTTTTAAAGTCTCTCTCTTGAGGTTCTGTTAGAAGTGTTTCAGATTTCCGCCCCAGGAAAATGAATAAAAGATCTTTTTCATGGAGACCACAAAGTTCTGCTCCAAGTCTGATGTCAAAGGAGTTAATGATTGAGTTCCACCATTCGTTGTGACAACCAGACAGGGCACCACAGGAAAGCGTTACATGACAGAAAATGTCGTCATATAGAGAAACGCACAAGTTGCACGTGAAACTTAAATTCAAATAAACTTAAATCTATACTATGTCTTCCCAAAGCACACTTCACCTGGATTAATATAGATAATAAATTGACTAGAAATATGTCCATAGGACATGAATGCCCCACCCATGTATATTTGTATTTCAACATGAAAAGAAATATATAACTTCCTTCTTCGGTCAGAGATAATTAGTAAAATATGACGAAAGTAGGAATAATTTTTATTACATATCTTTAATACAAAAGACATTTATGATGAAACTGACACCCTTAAAACAGTTGTCCATTATAGCAGGGTACGTAACGTTGATTCAAACCATCTATCATCTAACAGTTAATTGAAGTCTCATTGTTTCAAGATCATTCTCTCATATTTAGCAAATCTTTATATAAGACCTCTTAAGTATATGGTAAAATTGCTCTTACAGAGATTTATTGGTATATGGAGTTTTATGAAGTACATGTACCCCTTTATGGAATTATATAAGATGAACTGTAACACACCAGCTAAAATGTATTTTATGGTCGCATTTAGCGAGTATTTCCACTTAATTTTGAATCCTGATTGTATCTCAAACAGTTTCTTTGAAACTAATAGTTACATGCAAAGTGTGACTGACAGACAGAAGACAGCTAGATATGACAAAACACCATATGCCCTAGCCATATTCATGAAGGGGCATAGAAATATATCAATTTTTTTTGACCTGTGAAAAGACCAATTCTGAAATTGCTATTATTACCAATTCCTGGATTTTCATTTAAGACTTTGTATCGCACACTGTTGCACCACATGGTGTAGGCAGTCAGACGTTTCCTCTTCTTTTCCTTCTAAAAATATCAAAAGCATGGGTTTTTTTCACAGTATCAAGAAATCAAAAGAAAGTGATAATTCAACTTAAAAATTTTAAAATGGTAATAAATAGTCAGGAAAATCTGTTGAAACACAACTTGAAGACAAGGTAAGGAATGAGTGAAAATTCACTGACAGGTCACCAAACAAAGAAGCTGGTTAATAAACCTGGTCTGTGTCAGCAGCAGCCATGAGAAGAAGTTTACCTGTCCAGTGCTCTTCTTGTCTTTATTAGTAACAGCAAAGGACTGGCCATCATCTAAAAAACCCATTTTTTTTGTTTATGTCATTAAGAAATTTTCACAATGAAATTCTTGTAACACCATCGTTAGCTGGAGCAACCATCTATACCTTTCTTGCCTTTCTTTTTGCTGGGTGTTTTTTTACTTGTACCGGTACTTCTCTTGGGAACTTCATCTGCAATAATCAGATTCCCATCTTGTGTTTCAAATTCCCAGTCCATATCATCTTCATTATCATCCAGGTCATCATCAATCAAATCATCATCGTCATCATCATCCTCTTCATCATAATCTTCATCATCTTCATCCTCGTCATCCAGAATTGATACTGATTGTTTTCTTTTAGTTTTCTTAGCCTTAATTTAGATAATATTTCATCATAAGACATTTTGTTTTTCATATACAAATTGTACATGTAGCATAAAAAATGCAAATTTCAGATTAGTTTCTACATCATCAGAAACTAAAAATCTACAAGACTGCACTCTGTTAACTTGGTAGACTGATAATATGACATTATCCTAACAAAATATATTGAAAACTCTCAAGAAAGGAATGGATATTTAAGAAATGAGGTATCTTTTTTAACATCTATAGGGATGTAAATATGGGTTGATCAAATCCCATAGATGCAACAGATGTTTCAAAATGATACCTTATTACATTTACATTTGTGACTGACATATAAAAAAAATAATAATATTTGTGAATTATAATTTAAAACCCATGAAATAATTTATTTTTTCAAACCTCAAGGGTATAAATTGAATGCGCTGAAAACGTTGACCCCTTAGGATGTCACTGTGAAATCACATCGACTCTTTATGACTTAATAATGAATTTGTTGTCATCTGTTATTATACAGTGATAGACAGCATTGCTCAAATAGTGTTATATAAGACAAAATGTTTTCAAATGTAAATATCAATCTCCTATGCAGAGTTGTCGTTCGTTCCTCTCTCAGACACCTCTGCAATGGGCTCGCATCAAGATTTTTGACATAACGTAAAAAACATAACATTTCAAGGATTATTTCAAATTGAACCAATAGTTTTAGATCTATTTAGTAAATATCTATCTTTAAGGACTATCATTAGCGCAGACATTTAATTATAATGAATTTAAAAACTGCACTATTTCTCGTGCTTATCACTGTGATATATGTGAGCCAATGACAGGTGAATGTATGAGCCGATGGTAGAGAGTGTGTAAATATTTTAGGAATGACTCTAATTCTTTGGCCAAATTATTCGAGTATAACCTGGTTTGGGTCAGTTTACACTTTATAATCCGCAAAGCGGAAACTGACCCAAACCAGGTTATACTCGAATAATTTGGCCAAGAATTAGAGTCATTCCTTATAATTTAATTTTAAAATCATTAAATAACTATGGGTGTAAAATTTCGTTGCTTTTTATTAGTTCAAATTTGCCGCTCAATAATACAACCGTAGTAACGGAAGTAACGGAAGTCATGGGAAGCGAGGGGAGGTAAAAACTGATACATAAGCCTAGCAGCCTTGTTGTTTGAAATGTTTAAATGTGGTAAGATCGAATTATTGTTTGAAGTTAAAGGTACTTTTATTAAATCTGGAATTTTCCATGAATCCCAAGGACTGGAAATGAGAGGATTGTATGGATACAGATGATTCAGCTGGTTGTCGAGGGGGGGGGGGGGGGGGGGGGGGTCCCCATACCAAACCAGGTTATACAGAAATAATTTGTGTTCCTTTTTGGATATTAACCAATCAGAGCCTAGAATACAAACAAAATTAAATTATATGTGTATATTACTGTTTACCTTCTTTTTATCCGTCCCTGCCCCTGATGTTGACGACTTATTGCTCTCTACAGGACTGATGACGTTGGCAGGTGCTACGTGACCAAACGCATCCCCACCCGGTCCCATGTGAGACACAGAAGAGCCCTCTGTAGAAATTTTCATTTTAATTGGCTTCTTCACATTTTTGTCTGACATAGGAGAGTTGATTTGTGACAGAGTTTGTGTAGAGATAACTGGTTCAGAAAACTGGGCTGGTTTATTTAACAGCATTTTAATAACACTTTTACTCTGGACATCTCCTGCCATGCTTGGACCAGGTTCTTCTTTGATTTTTGGTTTCGGTGTTTTCTTTTTAGCTGGGGTTTTAGTCGGTGAAACACTTCCTTCTTGTTGAGCTATTTTTGTCAGATGTGTTAACAAAGCTGAGCCAGGGGCAGACTGAGGCAGCAAGATGTTGGGATCAACTGTATCAATGGGTTCATCCTTCACACTAAAATTCTGGTCCCCCATAACTGTCTCCCCAGGGCTGACAAAAGGACCAGACACCATTATAGGTTCAGTCTTCACAGATCCAAGTTTAGGATCATCAACAACCCTGACCATCTGAGGATTTTTTCTCAGCTGGGCCAGAAGTGTTGACTGGACATCACTTGAAGTTGGTGTGTTCAGAGCATTCATTAGATTCAGCTGTATGTTGGCTGCCTGTAAAATCTGTGGTTGTATGCCTGTTACTGGAGCAGCTGATACTGCTACAGTCACTGACTCCGGACTTGTTACCTTTGTCAGTCTTTTGGTGGATTTTACTTTTTCAGCCTTTTCAAATTCCTCCATTTCTATCACTTTGGCTGATTTCTTTCTAACCTTCAAAAGAGGGGAAAAATCTAATCCATATCAGTTTCCACCTACATGTAAACCTTTCATTTAGATTATACAAACACATATTACCAGTAATAATAGCTAACACAGCGAGCAGCATGAAGCAACTCTTGCACTGCGAGCACTTAAAGCAGAGCTGGGCGAAGAGAAAATTTGGACTGCTGCATATTCCAAATGAATTTTTTCTGAGTAACCTTTGTACCCATTATGTACTGCAAATAGCCTGTTTTTCCATATCTGGGCTCTGCTCTTTTGCCCACATTCTTGGGATAACCAAAGAAGAGTTCACAAATTAAAAAAGTAACCCACTGTTGCTTTAATGGAAATTGCAGAGATAGAGACACACTCTTTGTCAAACATTGCATTTTTGAGACTTAATTTATATGAAAATGCAACTAACATACGACATTAGGTCTTGTCACAGTAATGTCTTGTGCAGTTTGACGAGAGTTGGATCTAAGTTAAAAGAGGTATCCAGTAATAAAATATACACAACTGACCTCACCTTAGCAATCGCATCGTCAACATATAATAAACTATTTTGTCATATTCTATTAAACTAACAAATCTCAAATACTTATAATAAATATTAGTTTTATGCTCTTTGCAATAATATGGTATTTTTTTTATTTGTCATGCTCTGCTTCCTAACTATTTCTATATAAACAAGTTTACAACTAAGGAATATTTCTAAGGAGATGAATATTTTATTATTTTCACTGATGATTGTTTTTTTACTCACTCTTGATGACTTTGGAGTGTCTAATGGCTCCACTTTTGATTGGAGTAATGGTTCTTGTGACACAATCATTTGAGGTGTACCAGAAATTAGATGTGGAGATGCAGCAATAAGTTGCGGTGAACCACTGATCAACTGTGGAGTTGAACTAATAAGCTGAGGGGCTGAACTGATTAACTGTGGAGCTGAGCTGATTAACTGAGGAGCTGAGCTGATTAACTGAGGAGCTGAGCTGATCAACTGAGGTGCTACACTGATCAACTGAGTAGTATTAATCAACTGAGGGGTGGCACTTATGATCTGAGGAGTAGCCATAATGAGTTGTGGATTTGAGCTGATTATCTGAGGGGTGGCAGCAAGAAGAGATGGTGTGGGTTTCAAGTCAGGGATCTCTTCTGTTTTCGGTTCCCCTTCCTGGCTTTCTGGTGGACTTTCATCTCCATCATCTTCATCCAAAAAGCGAGCTGGTTTTTTTCTGGCTCTTCCGGATCTAGAATGGCTAGAAGCTGTAAAATCAATGCAAGAGATACATGTAACATTATAGACTTTATATGTATACAAGTACTTTTTGATGTGGAGACATGGTATGCAGAAAAATGTAAGGATTGATCACAGAAAAATACTAGTGATATGAACTGATATATATGCAAGCTACTTAAACTTCACAATATTTAAATTTTAATGTGTCTGTAACAAAAAATCCAACTGCACCAGAAAATATTTGTGAATGACCAATAATTCCCCTGGCATAGTCCAACAAGTAGGCGAGTTTCATACATTTTCATGTATACAATATTAATGTTTACCATTTTATGCCCTGCAATAAAAAAATGTTCTGCCATCATACTTTTGTTGAGCTCAGTTTCAAAGAAATTATTCAAGATATTTTTAACAAACTTCATATGCTGATATATATTGATGAAAGCTATTCAACTGCATCAACATTTATAGACCTTGACTTTTCCTTTGACCTTGCACTCACTTTTCAAAAATTAGTGTTTAGCTCAGTTTCAAAGATACTATTCAAGATATTTTTATCAAACCTTATATGCTGATACATTATGATGAGAGCTATTCAACTGCATGAACATTTTTGACCTTGACCTTTCTTTTGACCTCTGCCCTCACTTTTCCTAAATTTGTATTTAGCTCAGTTTCTAAGACCCTATTTCAAAATATTTTTATTATATCTTACATGTTGATAAATATTGATAAGAGCTATTCAACTGCATCAACATTTTTTACCTTGACCTTTGACCCTATCTCATTTTTCAAAAACTTTTGTTTAGAGAGTATTCAAGATATTTTTATCAAACTTCACAATGCTTATATATATTGATGAGTGTTATTCAACTGCATCAACAATTCTCACCTTGACCTTTCCTTTGACCTTGACCTCACTTTTCTCAATTTTGTGTTTAGCTCAGTTCTAAAGAAACTTTTCAAGATATTTTTATCAAATTGTTGATACATTTTGGTGAGTGCTATTGACCTGCATATTTTTTTTTACCTTGACTTTCCCTTTGTCCTTGACCTCACTTTTCTTAAATTTCATTTAGCTCAGTTTGAAAGAAACTTTTCAGAATATTTGTATGTCAGCTTATACCCTGATAAATAATTTGGTGAGAACTGTTTCCATTTTTTTTTACCTTGACCTTCCAAATGACATTTGACTTTACTATTTATTGTCTCTTAAACTCAATTTTTAAGAAACAATTCAAGATATTTTCATCAAACTTCATACACTAATACAAATTGTCATGTTGCGTTAATGAACCCTGGCCTGGGATTCATGTCCAATGGACATATTTCTAGTTTACATGTATTACAAAAGGTGCTTACCACCACAGTTACTGGAACTACAAGAAGTTAATGTAAATATAGAGGATGTGCATGTATCCTTTCTGTACAGGCACATTCTCTATATTTGCATTAACTTCCAGTCCCTGTGTTTACAACAGTAATGAAAAATACAGTGAAGTCAACAATTACCGGTCAAGTCAGGATGTTTCATTGATATTTTGCAAAGTTGTTTGATTTATTTTTTATACAATACATGTACTAAAAGTACAATTTGTGAGTCATCCAAGAGTCTTTTTGTTTTCAAAATAGGTACTTGGGAACAATATTTACAGACATATTTCAACAAGGCTTTTCTGGGGGGAGGGGATTTCAAGAAGTTCAGAATTAAATAGATTTAAATAAATTAAGGAATTTAAAAAAAAAATGTTATTTGTTAAATGGTGAAACAAGGAATAGTCATCCCATCCACCCATGCACTCTTCATTTTGTGCAGACATGGGGTAGGGAAAGGAGGGACGAGTGGGATCAACTGTAATCTCTCATATTTCACAAAAAAATTATTTTTTCTGTTTTTAAATACAGATATCAATAAGGATTCAGAAAAAAAATGAGTTTAATATATCAGGATTAAAAATAATAAAATTAAAATTCCAAAAACAAAGATTTTTTTTGCAAGGTACCATTAACACAATTTAGTTTTTATATTTTCCCTGAAGAATACTTTTATAACTCTAGGTTACACAGTTGTCACTAGGTTTTGAATACTGAGTTTTGACATGTTCCATGTCATGAGATATGGGAACCACAACTGGAGACACTGATTTAGTTTGATTTATATTATTATATATCAGTGTAAATTTACATGAGCTGTGACCATTATGAATTATAATTAATCAGTGTCAATTTACTTGAGCTATGATCATTATGAATAATTTCTTAGGTATAACTGAATATACATGTCATACGTTGCAGCTATAATTTTATTACTTACAGCTTTTATATCAGCCTAGATAGAATGTTCTATCGTTAAAATGATATTGTCCTACGGACCCGGTTTAAAGATAGAATTCGTTCCGTGTATTGGCAATGTTGCAAAATAAACACGGGCGATAACTCGAACTCTGTGCATTTTCTATGAACAATCCAGAGAGTTCCAAATATCAACATGGCATTAAATTTGAAGCGAGGAAAAAACGTTAACAAAATGAGTTGAATTTTCGTATTAATATGGATTATTTTTTAGGTTAAAAGGCATATACAATCTCAAAAAGGTTTGTTATAATTAATTTGGTAGTTATTTTCAGTGTAACTCCTTTTGTATTCTTCAAAATCATTTCGGAGTGGATCCACTCCGATTTGCTACATTGCAAGTATATGGGACGTATTCTAACTGTGGTGAGGGCTTGTCCCGAGACACAGTTAGATTATTCTAACTAATATCAGCCATGCTGCAGAGAACAAAAAAATAAAAGTAGGCTGTCAACAAAGCACAAACATCTCTCTTCATAATCTAGTGAAAATAACTTGCCAGATCTGCTCACATACTCACTACATAGATGTTAATGGCAAGCAGTAAATCTAGTACATTTACTGCCGACTCCAGACTCCTGACTCTCTTGGATTTATGTTTTTTGTTAATATCCTCCTTATCGCAAAACAGATTTGGTTCAAACTTTTCAGGCACATTAACATGTTGAACTTAATTCACATGAACACAAAAATTCAAAAATATTATGAATGTTGGAATTTATGAATGAAACTAGATGAATAGGTATCCGTTTTTGGTTTCTATATTTATAACTTAGTACTAGATTTTACCACTTTTAGACAGATATGTCATTATCATAATTAATATTGTCAATATATTTATGTATATGGGAACTAACTTCAACATAGCAAATATGCCCACAAAGTTTGAAGCATATCTTTTCAGTGAAATGAAGAATATTAATAAAAAATCACAGTCCAGAACACGGGAGTTGGAAATCAAAAGGCCTTGATTTAGCATAAATATATATAACATTGTTATCATATTTATGTATGTCTGAATGTATTTCAAAGCAGAAAATGTGCTGGACAAGTATGAAGCAATTCTTTACAACAGAATGAACAACATCAATAGAAAATTGAGAGAGTCAGGCATCGGGAGTCAGCAGTATTATTCTGATTTACCGCTTGCTGATGTAAATATAACGAGTATGCGAGTGAATCTTAAATCTAATTCTAATTGCTGTCTTCAATGCACGAGTTTTTTAATTTCGTTTGTCCGATGTTCTGCTAATGTTGATTTTTCAAAATTTTGTTATTGATTATACAGACAGAAATGAAAACCAATAGACCATCGGTAACTGCGGTACTGCTCTTTTGCAGGGCAAAATGATATAGTTTGGTGAAATATGACGTAAAAGTAATTGTTAAATATACGTCATTTGATTATCTGTCAACAAAAACTTCGCCAAATGTTATTATTTTGCCCTGCAAAAGAGTAATGCCGCAGTTACCATGAAGGGGCTAATTCTTCAAGACCAGTGTATTAAGTTTTGTTTTGTTTTTCTTTTTTTGCTTTAATTTAAACAATATGGGCATGGCATAAAATACATACGAGTGACCCGGAATTGGCGACTTCTCTGTACTTGTTCAAGGGAATGATGCATAATGAAAAATAAGTAGATGTGTGTGTTTCGACTGAAATTCCCCCCTGACATATCATGCAGCATTAAAAAATATTTATGACATTAACGATTATTCTTCATTAAAATGTTATTAAAAGGAAAAGAAATATTGCAAATAAAAAGACCAAAAATTTTCACATTCATCGCTGCTTTTGAACATCTTTACTGAAGATGGCGAGTATTCAGCATCACTATCTCTCTTTCTTTTGCTTGCCATTTCGCCTTCCGAGCTAATAAAATCCTTCACTTCCTGTTTGGGTCTTCAGAGGTGAATAAAGTTCTATCTTGGTTCAAAATCAATTTTAAAAAATACGGTGAAAAAATAAGGATATTTGGATTTTGTGTTTGTTGTTCAGAACCGGTCTTTTATCTTTTTTTTTAATTTTTTTTTTTTTTGGCACGCGGTAAAACTAGTACTGCCGTCTCCCAACTCTCTCGGATTAGTGGTTTTAGGTTCCTGGTTTACTGATTCTGACGACCCGGCGCGCTCGGGTTCACTGGGGATGACCGCTTGGGAATTCTAGTTTTGGGGCGACTCTGAGCACTAGGGACAGTTTTCACTGGTACACCGGCGACCCACTTGCTTGTGAGCCGGTACTGCGCACGCATCAAGCCGGGTGGCCCGATTGAGCCGAAAAAATTGAATAGGCTCAAGCGACTTCAACATGGCGTTCTTGGAGACATTAACAGTATCGAAAGTAGTTTATTCTAAGACATGAAGCTTTTGATCGAGGTACTCTGATGAAATTAACACGATTGTATAAGTTTAGTTAGGTAACTTTTTACGATAGGAAGAGTACAATATTTCCATTAATGCCAAATGATTCTAAACGCGTTGCCGGGTATTGTTCGATTCGAAATTTATCATAATCAAGTATGCTATAGATTTTACCGATTTCGGACTAATGACATTAATCTGTTAATTCTCATATGTAGCATATCGCTGATATCTGTATGTATATGTGGGAATTAACTTTAACGTAGATAATATACCCAAGAAGTAGGAAGCGACTTATTATTTATAGTGAAATGAAGAATACTAATCGAAAGTTCTCAATTTATCACATTACACGTTACATTATCGTTAACATATTTATGTATGTGCGAATGTATTTCAATATCGAAAATGTGCCTGGCATGTATGAAGCGATTCTGTTGAGCGGTATGAAGAATCAATAGAGAGCTGAGAGAGTCAGGAGTCCATCTAGAATTTCGTATATGACACTTAACTGCCACTGCCAACTGCTCATGCCAATGCTTACTGCCACTGCGGCTTATTCTTAATACAAAAGCTTGAATGCAACAATATTACTATAGTGGGAAAAATTAAGAGGCGGTTCCAGGAATGTTTATAATGGTAAGGTAAAGGAATGTTGAAGAAAACAAAAGACCGAAACTCCAATATTCCCAGACAAGCAAAACAAGGGTGATAACCCTGGTCTAGCCGATAAGAAATATACCAGAAACACTAAGGAAAATTCAAAAATTCTTCTACCATGAGTAAATTGATTTCTGAAACCTTTTAATAACATTGTATCACAAGGTATTTTAGTCTATGTAAAAATAATTGTCCCTAGCCAAGGGAAGCAATTAAAGTGGCGGGGGGGGGGGGGTACAACCCAACAGAAAACCCTTGACAACGGCACAAAGTTGCATATTTCAGCATCAAAGAAACCTTAAGATTTCTTTATATTTCAGAGATTTCTGTTCAAAATCATTGAATGAAAAGTATACATATCTATCCATGCATCAGTTATTTTGTTTATGTTATGTAGCCTTAATAAACCCCGTTAATAGTTGACACACGCCAGATACTGTATTTAGGTATATGCAAAATATATAGATGTTATTCAATGTTTTGTAGTTGAATATGGAATTTATTTCACGAGTGGGACAGGATATTTGAAATTTTTACGAGGGAGAAACACGAATGAAAATTTTTTTTTTTTTTTTTTTTTTTTAAAATCCTCAGTGTCTCACGAGTGAAAGTTATTGGGGGGGGGGGAGGAGGAGGAGGGTTCCACAGGCAAATTTAAACTTGAAATTTCCAACTCAGAAATTTTTGACAAGCAAAAACAAAAACAAAACAAAACAAAAAAAAACACACACACAAACAAACATACAAAACCCTAAACCCCTTTCCCATGCAGGCTTAAAAAACGTCTGTATTTCTTAACGGGGCCACGTTTTCTAAAAGGGGGGAGGGGTGTCCAAAGTCATTTTTTTTTTTAATTTGCTTCAGTATATGCATTTAATAACTGCAAATTCCAGGGGGAGGTCTGGACCACCCCCCCCCCCCGACCCCCTCTATATCCGCGCATGATTGCATTTGGCAGAAAGCAGTTGCCACTCGAATAAGTTATGCCGTCACGGTAGCTCAGTCGGTACAGCGCTCGCTCAGTCTGTGATAGGAATGTCGTGCGTTCAACAGTTTTGTTCAAATCACGGCCGCGACTGACCTAAGTCAATAAAAAAAAAAAATAGATAGCAACTGTTTCTTCGCCAAGCGCTCGGCACTTTGAAGTGAAAGATGCGGGTCCTTCGGTTAACTGACGTTAAAAACCAATGTCCCGTGTCACGGTAGGCGTTGGCACGATATATAAAGAACCATCACTGCTCAATGGCCCTAAGTGCCGAGTAATAAATTTGAAAATAAATTTGAAGCTCTTCGCCGGTATGTGGTGACGTCTCCATATGGGTGAAAAAATTTTCGAAAGGGACGTAAAGCAACATACAATCAATCAATCGAATTACAGTTGCAGAATCCTTTCAAAGTTATGTCCTTTGACCGCCGTCTGTGGAGAAAAACCCATAGAATCTGTAATTTTTGGTTTGTAATTTTGTCACTTGACTGGAAAAGAATTGTGCATCTTGTATTCTCCCAGGATGGGTCTATACTCACTCTCAACCATCGACTCATTTGAGAGAGGAGCAAACGACAACTCTGAAATTAAGGGAGATTGGGGTCTTACTCTACCAATACATTGAATAAACAAATTTAAAACACACGGATTTATCTGAGCACGCCAAAATGTTTAGTATAAAGAATATCGCTTCTTTGGTAGACCAGAGATAGCTTTTTTCCCTCCTCAGTTCGAGCCCGATTTCTAGGGATTTTTTTTCTTTGAAAATTTTTGCATATTTCATACTAAACTAATGCCGTTTAAACTAATTTTAAAATGTTGATTTATTCCTATATATATGTTAGATATGGAACTTCAAATAAATGTAATATACAAAAAGAATAATCGGGTTCGACATTCATCTGAAAAATGGCAGGATACAAACTACGGTGCTTCATAGTTGGGCATGAAAAAGATGTTCGAGCAATTTCACCGACAATATTTCCCAGTGATGGTATTCTTTCCGGATCCAGAGATGTTACAGCTAGAGTGTGGATACCTAATGAGTATGATCCCTTGTTTCAAAAGAGAATACTTCAATGAATTAGTTTTGTTCTGCTTTGTCATCATGCATCAATGATATGAACATGTGATTATTGTAAACAAGGCCACTTTTACTAAAAGAGCTAATTTACATTTATCCTAAGTTTTAATATCAGTCCCGATAAATTACCTTTTCCCGTTTAAATGAAAGAAAAATTAAATAAATCTCATCCCTTCACAATTTAGAACTCAACATGTTCGCCTGAATGTGTGATCAACCTGTTGTCATTGATTATTTTCAGAGGTATTAAAATATAATAGATATGAATTAATTTCTGCAGAATTAATCAGTATCATGCAGTGTGATTGTTAATTAAACAATCTAATATGTTGACGGTGCGACCGTTTGGGCGAGCACATTGTTCACTTAATTTTAAGATCCGCCTCTTCAAATCGCACGAGACATTTGGAACGTCTAGATAGTGACGTCATATGTTAGTTGCATTTCATTAAACAAAGTTTGAAAAGTGCAAAAATTTTAACAAAGAAATTTAATCTACTATCTGTATGCAATATCCATTAAATTAAGGTGAGTTTATTTTTTGTGAATTTTTAGTTGTTGTAACAGTGTGAACAAGGTTAGCAGCTAGAACAACAATCGATGCATTGTGGGTCTAGAATTACTGCGGAAAAAATTCTGTTTAATGAACGTGCAGTAGTTCGAATTTTCTCTTTGCCCAAGTGTTGTCATTAGAACTTGAAGTGACGAGCGGTGCATGTGCTGCTCACTGCGCTCACTATTAATATATTAGAAAACTAGGTATGTTACCTATGTAAATTAACGCAACTTTTCTTTTTGAATGAAGTTTATTATTATTATTTTTTTTTTTTTGAATAACAGTCATCATGTAAATTTGAACAAATTTTATGACGTATTATTCCTTTTCTTGTAACCAGAAAAATTTGTAAATGCCTTATTTAATACGTTGACAATGCAACCATTAGGGTGAGTGCAGATATGTGTATTACTGGATATGTATTTAGTTTTAACTTAGATCCACCTTTTGAAATCGCACGAGACATTTGGAACATCTGTAAAGCAGACTGCAAATAACCCCTTGTTCACTCACAAATGCGAGTAATTTTGCCTGTGGGTGACCATTTCTTGAGCATGTTATTGCCCACATGGCGAGTAAGAACCCTATCAGGGTGTAGTTCCACTATTAAGGTATTCAATGTATAATGAAGGGATACTGAACAATTTTGAATCATTTTAAACTAGTTAAATATGTATTGCTAGATAACGATGGAAGTGAAATGAACCAAATATCACATGACTGATAACATATAAGAAAATGGTCATTTTGCACCTTAAACGTTTTTGAAGAGTTATACGCCCTTGATGAAAAGAGGAAAAAATTTTTATTTTGTCAAAATATCTGTGGTAAATGATTTATTTTATTTCATATTTTATTGAAGAGAGAGTATATGCATATTTTCACCAAGAGATTTGTATGAAGTTCAAATTACATTTTACAATATCTTAATTACATATGCACTGCCCGTAGACCTCAATGTAAAATTCAAAATGCAATTAACTAGACAATAATAAAAATTTTGTAAATTCCTTTGGTGGAGTATTTTTATTTGATAACATAATCAAAATGCAACCATGATTAAAAATATGGGACCATTCATTTATTTATATGTACAAAATGTGGTCGTTATACATTGAATACCTTAAATGCACTTTCATTTTAACTGTTTTCTTCCTATAAAACTATTTCAAGACCCAGAATTGTGTCTATGATACTCATCCTTAAAGGTATAAAAATTCCTTCAACATTCATTTAATTTTCCTTTTAGTGTCAACGGAGCGGGTTTTCATCCACATCCTATTCAGATGAACACTGTATATTATTCACAATAAACAGCTTGATATTCATTTATTTTCCTACTTAATTAAGTATGTTGAAGATGTTTTCTGATTTTTTTCTGCAACCATGGCAGTTAGAATAATCAGACTGTCTTTGGACAAGCTCTCACCACACCTGGTCCGTAGGACAATATCATTTTAATGATAGAAAGTTCTATCTACTACTGTGGGTAAAAATATTTCACCTTATGAACTTTAAAAGTCAGTAAAGCACACTCTCTATAATTTTTCAATAGAACAATAAACAGTGTGCACGAAAAAAATATTTTAACACCAGACATTCCGACCGGCAGTCTGATGCATTTCCCAGGACCAAATAAATTTTTGCCGGACTGAAACTTTTTATCAGCAAGGGTATTTATTTTTGTTAGGTGTTATTGCTGTATTTTATAGACGATCGAATTAAGTAAAAAGGAAAAAAACACAAATCTTAATTGATAGGCCTTCGGGCATTTGGACTGATTATTTAACTTCATCATCGGACCAAATCGATTTTCATGAGATTTGTCCGAAAGACCGGTGCTTTTGGGATAGACTGAATAAATTAAAAAAACATGACTGTCTTGAAGTGAATGAAAACATGAAATTTCATAAAAAGTGAAAGTTCCACAATTGGATAATTAATTTATGAGAAGAATTGTTCAAGTTTTAATGTTTAAACTGATGACATATATACCCTTGAGGCCATTTGCTATCAGTAGGTAGCTACCATTTATCCTTTATACACTATAAACTCACACCTGCATGCTTACTTAAATTTTTATTTGTGAAACAAAACCAGTGTGGTGGTATCTGCTTGGGTCGGACACATAATCGGAACATACTGTACGTGTACATAAATTGGCTATGCATGTCCCTGCCATGTATTGTATTAATAAATGATTTATTAGTGGTATTCTTGAATTAGCACATCATTGTTTTCACCAAAGCCGCTAAAATATGAAGCCTGCTTTTTTAAGTACACATACAGCAACCACCCTTCATCTTTGGTGAAACCTAATTTTAGCACATACTGTTAGAATAGATTCATACCCTCTCCCAATTTCTGCCAGTTCACATCAGTTTCTTAACTAAGGATTTTTTTTCCTGCTAGAATGGATCCAGGTTTTCATGAGGGTCAGCTGATGAGAGGACACAGTAACTTTGTGTCTGCAGTGTGTGTTATGCCCCCCGACTCTGACTATGAACAGGGTCTACTAGTAACTGGAAGTAATGATCATACTATCCTTGGTTACACACCAAATTCTACAGAGCCAGTCTTCAAACTCACAGGTCATGAGGGCACAGGTATCCCAATGCTACATAGATACATAAAATAATACAAGAAGTTTATAGAATATGAAAGGAATTTACATTTCCCATTAATTGTTATATTTTCCATGATTTTAATATTTTTTTAGACATGTATATGTATTTACATGCTAGAATAATTTAATTCTTTATTGAATGAAGAACGTCCATGTACAAACCACTAAAACAGAGATGGTATTTGCATTGAATCAGTTCTGTTTCAGTTTGTACTCTGGCTGCTGGAAAATTTGGGACTCTTATCAGTGGATCCTGGGACAAAACTGCCAGAGTTTGGTTAAATAAAAAGTGTGTCATGACTTTGAAAGGTATGACTGTATCATGGTTTTTGAAAGTGAAACATTGTAAGATAGCATTTTACTATTTCAATCATTATAAATGACTTTGTGATTTATTTAGGACATCAGGCAGCTGTATGGGCTGTTGGTATTGTGCCTGAGCAGGGCTACATGTTAACCGGATCAGCTGATAAAACCATTAAACTGTGGAAGGCTGGAAAGTGTGAAAACACTTTTACAGGTACACTAAATTTGTGCAGAATGCATTGAAGGTGAAATTTATACATTTTCATGTAGATTCTTCATTTTCCTATTTTATTATGCACAATTTCTTTTTTAAGAAATCAGTTTTCCAAACAAAAAACTTAAAAATTCTGTTTATTAAAATATTTGTTACAACATTTGACTTTATATTCTTTATTTTATATTCTTTTTTTTTTTTAGTTGGTGTAAATTTTTCTTTTATACATACTAAAGGACAAAGGTAGTTTGCTATCCTTTGAATAATGTGCTCTTGTCTTATCAGGACATGAAGATTGTGTGAGAGGGCTTGCTGTACTAAATATGAATGAGTTTATATCCTGTGCCAATGATGCTACGATTCGTCGATGGTCCATGTCCGGCGACTGTCTACAGATCTGTTATGGCCATGAGAACTTTGTCTATAGTATTGCTGTGTTACCTAATGGGCAGGACTTCATCAGTGGGAGTGAGGACCGTACAGTGAGGGTTTGGAGGGACGGGAAGTGTGTTCAGACCATTGCCCACCCTGCCCAGTCTGTGTGGGCTGTGTGTGTCCTACCAGGAAATGGGGACATTGTTACAGGAGCAAGGTAATTACCAGTGTAAAGATTGGGTAAAGTATTAATTTTTGTGCATGTGTATCTACTTTTTGTCATGCTGTGTCAGGTTTGGTTTGATTAAAGGAATTTTACATTACTTTCTCTTCATCATTGATATGCAAAATATAGTAGAGAATGATTTTGATAAGTTACACACTTGATCAATAGGAAAGTATATATATATATAGAAGTAATTGGAACTTTCTGATGATGAAATGCTTTATTTTATTACAGTGATGGTGTAATTAGGGTGTTTACCACAACACCAGAAAGAATGGCACCTGAGGATGAACAAAAGTCATTTGAAGAGCAGGTCGCAGCCACAGCAGTGCCCAAGCAGTTGGGGGATGTAAAACTGGAGGACTTACCAGGACCTGAAGTTTTACTGAATCCAGGTACACTCAATACTGATTCAAACACTCATAAATAATAGCTGACTTTACCTGTTAGTGGACTTTACTTGTTAGAGGACTTGGCTGTTTTTGACTTTTTATAACAGCCTGTGCATTAATTTTGAAGGTACCAAAGAGGGACAGCAAAAGATCATCAGAAGAGGTCCAAATGCTGAGCTTCATCAGTGGGACATGGCCAAACAACAGTGGACAAAGGTTGGAGACGTAGTGGGCTCTAGTGGCGGAACTCAGCAAAGTTCTGGAAAAACTCTCTACGAAGGAAAGGTAAGGGGTTCCAGGGGTCAGTGAAACTTTCTGGAGATAATCTTTTAAATAAATTCACTATAGACTAGTCACTTTTGAATATTTGAATGAGAAATGTTTTAGTGGACATAAGCTTGGAAAATTCCAGGACGGAGAGGTTCGTTTACAATGTATCATTGAATGTAGAGATAGTGTATGAATTTTCTTGATTGTTTTAATATTTCCAAATCTTAACAACAAGTTTTTATGCTGAAGATTTTGGGGCTTATAGATTTTGATCTCTCTTTCTGTCTGTTTGTCTGCAAAAACTTAAACCTTGTCCATAACATTTGGACTTTTCATATTTTCACATGTGTATTTCTTGTGACAAGAACCAACATTTTTAATTCAATGACTATGAACTTCAATTTTGGCCAATTTCTGAAAAATTTTTGAATGGACGTTGCAAGGACTTTCATATTTCACATGTATTTTGACAAGATCTTTCTATGGGTAGCAACCTTTTTTGACTTCATTATCCTTGGAGTTTGACCTACTTCTGGAAAACTTTAACCTTGGCCATAACTTCTAAACTTCTAATAATTGGAGCTAGGGCTTTCATATTTCACATGTGTATCCTTGTGATAGGACCTTACTATGGATACCAATTTTTGACCTCTTGATCTTGACCTTGGAGTTTGACCTACTTTTGAAAGACTTTCACCTTGGCCATAATTTCTGAATTGGTGGTGCTAGGGCTTTCATATTTCACATGTATATACCTTGTAACAAGACCAGGCTTGGGGTAATGCTAAAGGTAATGGTAATGCATTGTAATGCATTACTTGAACTCCAAGTAATGCTAGTAATGTGTAATGCCAAACAAATTTCATTACATGTAATGGTAATGTAATGCATTACTTCCTTTACTTTCTTGTTACAAGACCTTTCTTTGGGTACCAACATTTTTACCTCTTTACTTCAACCTTGGACTTTGGCTTACATTTGAAAAACTTTAACCTTGGCCATGAGCTGTCATGTGGAACATCAGTGTTTTAATAACCCATCTTGTTTGACCTCATGTCCTTGACCTCCAAGTTTGACCTACTTTTAAAAAAACTTTAACCTTAGGCATTACCTCTAAAAGATTGCTGCTAGGGATTTCATATTTCACATGTGTATTCCTTGTGACTTAACCTTTCTTGGGTACTAACATTTTTTACCTCATGACCTTGACTTTGGAGTTTTACATAATTTTAGAAAACATTAACCCTAGCCATAACTTCTGAATGATTCATGCCAGGGCTTTCATATTTTACATTCATGTTTCTTGTAAAAAAAAAAAAAAAACCTTTTTGTGGATACTAACATTTTTGACATTGACTGGAATTTTGTCTACTTTTGTAAAACTTCAATCTTGGCCAGTAGCTGTCATATGGGGGCATCAGGGTTTTACAAACACATCTTCTTTTTTCTTTAGGAGTATGACTATGTGTTTAGTGTGGATATTGAGGATGGGAAGCCCCCTCTTAAGCTCCCCTTTAATGTCACAGAGGACCCATGGTTTGCTGCACAGAGATTTTTAGAAAAGAATAGTCTGAGTCAGTTATTCCTTGATCAGGTTGCCAACTTCATCATAGACAACACTAAAGGAGTCACTCTGGGACAAGAGACCTCAGGATATGTAGACCCATTTACAGGTCAGTTTTAGCGGCTTGTTTATTAGCTTTGAATAAGACCTTGGAATATGTAGATCCATTTAGAGGTCAGTTCTAGTGGCTTGTTTATTAGCTTTTAATAAACAGTTTTTTATATAAAGTTCAACATCGAAAAGGTTTTAATAGTTCATGTTATAAAAGGTAAAGTGGAAATAATCTTATACATTCTTTATTAAATGCTTAACATTTGTGGAGGAAATTTTGCTTTTGTATAAACAACAAAGCTGAAATCTTAACACATGCATCATGGACTGCTGGATGATGCAACCTTAATGTGATTTTAATTTAATTAATTCTCCTCCACCAAAGTCAGATTAAGCTTTGTGAATAATTGATCTCCTTTTCTTGTGGCTAGGAGGAAGCAGGCATGTTCCTGGTTCTCAATCCAGCATAAGCTCAGCACCAGCCTCGGGGACTGACCCATTCACAGGAGGGGGTCGATACATCCCAGGAGGGCAGACATCACAACCACAAATTTCAGGCTCAGATCCATTCACTGGTAAGGCCTCTCTTGTGTGATTTTTTCTTTATTTTTCCATCCTTATATTATGCATTTATTGCTGGGTGTAATTATGATAACATATATTTTATTAGACATGAGGAAAAACTGACAAATTTGAATGTTTGACAAGACAAGTGATCTTGATGCTCAAAATCCCTGTCAACAAGTATTGTATTATTTAAGTTTTATTGCTTTGCCATTATACAGATGATTAAATTTCTCCCAGTACTGTGATTGGACCTCCTTATAAATATCTTAATGATATCCCAAGCAAGTTTGGAATTTCATTTTTTCTGTATCGAGAAACAAAGTTCTGATTGTCATTTCCAATGACCTGTTTATGACATTAAAAAATTTATAGAAGACCTGTATTTCATTTGCACACCTATTTTTCTCCAGGAGCAGGAAGTTATAGACCTCAAGATGTTCAGGTTAATTTGGCCAATAATACCTACTTCCCCCAGAAGACCTATGTTACCTTCGAAACTGCCAACCATGTTCAAATCATTAGTATGTGCTCTTCTAACATATTTATTAGGGCCCCGCAAGGATTTGTGGGTGCCCTATAGTAATCACGCTGTCTGTCTGTCCGTCTGTCTGTCTGTCTGTCCGTCTGTCATTCTTCCGTCTACAAATTTTCTGTTTTTTTCTAATAACTTTTTTTGTAGTTGACCAATTAAGTTCAAATTTGGTATGTTGGTTGAAGAGGAAGTAAGACATATTTTGATGCTAAGTTTGGTTCTCTGTGTCATCCAGTTTGGAGCTGGGGTGGTGGGGTATATTCCTTAACTTTACATTAGAATGAATGCCAGGGCAAAGAGAGATAACTGCTGAGAATGTTCCTATTGTAAACTATGAAAGCTGCAACTATTCCCATGGGATTAATTAACTTTCCTCTTGAAGAAAATCCAAAGCATTATCTGTTTCTGTCAAATTGAGATTAATTAAGACCTCTGTCTGCAAATGAAGTTTGTTTTGAAGTTAAGGTCAATTCTGAATGATGTTTACATTCTCTGAAATGAGGATTTAAATAATGTTCATACTTTATTTTGGTAAAATATACAATGAGTTATGATTTTATTGAATTCTAAAAACAAGATATACATAAAGATATGGTTTTTTGGTTTTTTTTTTATTTATTCTATTTATTTATTCTTTTTCTTTTTTTTGGCTGCCATATGTAAATTCAAGAATACTATTAATTTTAATGGGTAGTCCAATAATAAACTCATTCTATCATTACTGAAAGAGTTCTTATTGTAAACTTGGAAGAAAAGGATGAAAGAGCAGTACAATTAATCCCTTGGGATTAATTATCTTGTCTGGGGCAGAAAATTTTCCAGGCTTATCTTTATTTGTCACTTTAAGATAAATTAACCTTTGTCTGCAACTGATGTTTAATTGTTTTGAAGTTAAGGTCAAGCCTGAGTGATATTTGTATTCACTGAAGGCTGGCATTTTATAAAACACTTGCTATATTCTTGTTTAAATATACATTTAATTGAGTTATTATAGATATGATGTTTTTTACTGCCTTATGTAAATACAGGGATACTCTTTACAGGTTGTTGGATATTTAAGAATTATCTTGAAATTTTATAAATACAGTTGTTATTGCATATTCTTCTTCATATATTTTTAAATTTTTGTAATCAATTAAAATTCTCATTCTGTAAGCTGTACCCTTATATTTCTACCCCTCGGCGGGGCCCTTGCTGACTGGTCAGTTTTCTAGTTTGCTTCTCAATCTCTTCTAAATATACATATAAAGAAATGAATAACAGTAAAATTATGTTCTTATTAGTGGTATTAAAAGCTGATTATACTGAAATTTAAGAACTTTGTTTAATCATTTTAGATAAGCTCAAGGAGTTTAATGACAAGGTTGGAGCAGAGAACCAGCTAAGTTCCGATGATCTAGATTCCCTGCAGACATTAATGGAAGCTAAAGATGTGACAGAGGCACATGTGGGCGTCATGAACAAAGTCCTGCGGTGGCCAAAAGGTACTCTATTCTGTTAGTTTTATCTTTCACCAGATTACAGAACACCATTGAAGATTTTCTTTTTAATTTTAACCCTTACTCTAGAATTGAAATCAGTTGCATACAGATATTTGAAGGGCTATTCCAGATTTAAATTTGTATGTTTGAAATGGGGTGGGCAGTAGGTGGGTGAAGGGGTGGGTGAGGGGTGTCTTTTTAATCTTGAGCCTTCTCAAACCTTGAAATCAAACTAAGATCACTGTTTCAGAATTGTGTCTGTTTTTGAAGTGGGGCAGGGTTTGGGATGGTTGTTTTTGCTCCCACTTCCCACAAAATGATTTTGGCCCCCACCACTTACATTGTCCTAGATAAGTACCAACCACAATAAAATGAAATGTAAATCCCACAGTTATGATAGGGTGTAAATCAATAGGAAAGCTGAAATGGTAGTTAGTGATCTTTCTGTTTGTGTGTACAATGACTACCCTAACATCTGAGTATTTGTTTAAATTATCTGCATCCTCAATTAACAAAACATCATAGGACATGGAATTGTTTTTATTTACTTGTGAAGGAGTACACATCAATAGCAGATATATAAAAGTTGGGGGGGGGGGGGGGTGTCTTTGGACGTGCGCAATTATTACAAATGTTTAACTGGTAAAATATTTTACATATTGATTTTGATATATATCTTCTTCAGCAGATATGGGCCATATGGCAGTAAATCTAGGATTTACTCTGTTCTATACTTTCATTTTGCCAGTTTTGAGTTTCTTCCCTTTAAATATCACCAAAGAAAAACAACAGAGGAATTGATATTATTCTTTCCAGAACTGATTGTAAACACTTAATTCATTTAATCAGAAAAAATGATCATTTAACATTATATATTTTTTGAAGAAACCCATTCATCCATAATTTAAAGATCTGGACAAGCAATACATTATACTATCCTCTTGCAATAAAGGAGGGCCCCTCTTTAATAATACCAAGAGAAACCCCCCTCCACACACTCGCTACCACAGACAAACCTACAAACCATTTTTAAACAGCCCAAAGTAGAAAAAAAGGTACCGGTGTATTATATAAACATTTGCATGCTAGTTTTGCAGGAATAATGGAATTTCCAAAAGCTCAAGAAGGCCTCAAAAGGGCAAAAAAATTTAGAATCACCAATCCATTTTCCCAGTTAACCAAAAGAAGTAATTTGTTCAAAGGCATCGAGTTACTTTAATCTCACTTGATATATTAGACCAAAAAAAAAAAAAATAGTGGAGAAAAATCATTATTAAATGATGAATTTTTTTTTTTGTGCCCTGATATAAAACTTTCAAGATGTAAAAATGAATCATTTCAATAACTTTGAAATTTGTATATGTACAAAAGTATAAAGTAATTTCACATAATCAAGATGCGCATGTATTATGTGTATTTTTCTTAATGAATAATATTCATCTAAAAATTAAGTCAGTGGAATGTAAACTACGCTCCTGATCGTACATACATTATGGATTTATAATGGGAAATATGATAAAGCTGATTACATAATTTATAAATCAGAGCACAATATTACATAATTTAATACTCAGACACTGTTAAATGATATTTAGGGGTAACATTTCACAGCTTATTTTCATTTGGTCTTTAAAAATTGCTAATATTTTTTTTTTTCAATTTATTAGAAAAAAATCGAAAAATCAGCTTCTGAATTTTTTTGACAATGACACCTGCAAATATATTTTGTGTATAAAGTTTTCATGCTGATTTTTATTATTATTATTAAGGTCTTCCATTTCAAACGGAAGACCTTCTACTGATTCTGTTGTTTCTTTTCCACTATTATTATTTTTTTTTTTCTCTCTTACCGATTTTGTGCAGACGATTTCTCCAGAACGCCTGGATAGATTTTCATGAAACTTTCAGCAAAGATGGCAAGTCATCTGAACTTTATGCTTTTTTTTTTTATTTTGCCGTCGTCACTTCTGGTCGCGAGATACGGCCAATTTTCCATTTTTAAAGTGGCATGTTGTCTGCAAGTGTTCTCAAAAAAGGTTTGAGATTTAGTCTTGAAACTTTCAGGGATGATAGATTGTGATTCGTAGAATTGAGAAACCTGTTCCGTTTTTGTTGCCGTGACGTCCCTTGTCCATTGGAACTAGTTTAAAAGTATGCAAATTTTTATTTTTTTCTTTTTGAAATGTTTATAATAGAGGCAAATAGACTGTTTCGAGTCATATTATTTCCACCGGAAGTGATTTCTTCCAAACTGGAAGTAGTCGAAAAAATGCTCATTTTTCCTCGAAACTTTGAGGAATGATTCCTCCACACTCAGTGAGGAGTTAAAAGTCATTTTGAGTACTTCCGGTAATACCGGAAGTGAATAAAAAAGACCGGAAGTTGTTTGAAATTGATAGATTTCACTCTTTAATGTGTTGCTAAACATATTTTGAAGAATTGACATGAATATTTTTTCATTTAAAGATTTTTTACTTTCTTTTATCAATCAAAATTTCCCAATCAAGATCTTATCAGAAATCTAACAGAAGACCTACTCGTTGCTCGCAACGAGATCTCATCTAGTTTTTATTATTATTATTATTTTATTTTTTTGCAAATTTCTTTTGTTTAGAGAAGTAGATATTGTTATTATTTAATTGATTTTAAACATACTTTTATTTTAGGTTATTCAATAGGTGTTGTTTCTTTTGCTCTTTTAATTTTAATTTGTGGAGTGCCCCCTTGTATGACTTCACATTCATCATTTTTAAGAGTGTAGGAGACATAACAATGGAGATTTTTTTCTATGTTTTGGGAGTATCTAACGGACAGCTGAACTTTGAATGCATGCGTGGATCTAGAGGGGGTGGGGGGGTCTGGACCCCCTGGAATTTGCAGAGTTATTAAAAGTATATGTTTTTTTTTTTTTTGCTTGTCAACAAAATTTCTGGGTTTAAAATTGGGAAAGGAATTTAGTGTTTTTTTATTTTTTTTTTGTTTTTGTTTTTTTTTTTTTTGTTTTTTGGCTTGTCAAGGAATTTTTGGGTTGGAATTTTTTTTTTCTTGGACTGGGGTGGAACCCCCCCCCCCCGGAAAAAATTCCTTGATCTGCACCTGGAATGGATGTGTTAAATTTATTCTTAAACTGTTTTAAATAAATCAACATCTAACCTCCTTATTTTGTCAACATAGTTTCTGATTTTAATTAAGTGGGAAATGTTCAACCTTTTTGAAATATCAATATTTGTTCACTTTGGATATACTGATTAAATTACTCCTCTGAGTGTTTGAATGTTTAGATTCTATGTTTTACACAAAGGAACAAACTCTGCTTACATTGACACAGTTTACAAGACTGATTTTCTAGATAATATTTTTATCTAGGTTATTTTACATAATTATTTTACATAATTGCTAGACTTAACTTATTTTATGCACATGATGCAGCTGTTTGTTGCTTTAATACAAATTTTAATGTATACCAATTTTTAATATATTTTTCAGAGTACATCTTCCCAGGACTAGATGTACTCCGAGTGAGCATCAGGGATCAGAAGGTGTGTGAACATGTCTGTTCTCAGGGGGGATTCCTAGACAGCCTGCTTCGCTTCCTAGACTCGAGTTCCCCCGTCCCCACTCAGATGTTGACGCTTAGGATTTTAGTAAACTGTTTTCTTCACGAGAGTGGACGGCAGTTTCTGCTGTTAAACAGAGACCCAATAATAACCCAAGCTCTGAACTGTAGATTGACCCCAAACAAAAATGTTCAGATAGCTGTTAGTACCTTGTTACTGAATTACTCAGTAAGTTTACAGGATCGAGATGATGAAGAAGGAAAGTCTCAGTGTTTACTAGCGGTGGCTAGCGTAATGGAGAATCCCATGGACCCAGAGGCAGAGTTCAGACTTCTGGTGTGTTTAGGGACATTGATTTCTAATGACAAAGACACTAAAGAATTAGCCAAATCTCTAGAAATACAGAATCTAATTATTCCAATGCAGACCCGCCTTGACCCCAAGAAAGTTAGTGAATGTGCAGGCTTCGTGATAAATCGTCTTCAGTAATTATGCATAAAAAATCTTTCTTTAGCAACTGTCTGAATGACTTGGTTTAAAATGTTAATAAAATTATGTTAAAAAAATATCAGTGTTGGATGACTGCTTGCTGTCATTATTTGATACACCAAGTGAACAACATTACATTCATTTTTCAAGGATTTTATCTCTCTTTGAACACAAAAACCACATCATGTTTATGTTTTACTTTGAGAACATCATGAATCATAATAAATACATTACAAAGTCGCTGAATGGAGAAACTGCATGGATATAATTATTTCTGCTTGAATATGATAGACCGTTTACATGAATAGGCATGTTTTTAAATACTGTTCCCTATATCAGAAAGGTTTTATTTTTGTTAGCTTATATAATAAATGTGATGTGTAGTTTCCAGATTTATGCTCCAAGAATTATTCTTGTAATTTTCAAGTCTAGATAGAGAGAGAGAGAGCTAGATAGATAGAGGGAGGGAGAGAGAGAGAGAGAGAGATAAATATTATAAAAAGGACGTGTTTGTTGGATATTGTGCAGTTTCAGATTAATCTGTTTGATCCACCAATCAATTGTCAATTCCATTTAATTTACTGGAGCCTAGCGAGGACTTCTGATGCAGAGTATATATAGGCCCTCTAAGTTGTGGGCACCTAGTAACAAATCCTTTAGACTAGAAAATATCGGAGGAAGGGGGGTTATAGGAGGATTGATGAAAAAGAGACAATGTCAGAAAAAAATGGTGAAATTTAAAATTTGGTGGAGGGGGTTGTTGTCCTTTCTCATGCACGCGCAAGCATTGTTGGGTTCATTGCAAAATATTGATTCACGCATAATTACACAAAAGATAAAGTATTCTAGAGCAAGCAGGGATCCTACGGTCTGCCATTTCAGCAGATAATAGCACTTTTTGAGAGGCAAGGCTTGGAAAATTTTGGTTGGTTAATGGAGACCAAGGTGAATCTGTCTCCATCGCACTTTCACTTTTCCGCGATTGGACTGCTTTTCCGCGAAAAAAAATCCTGTTTTTCCGCGATTATATTTTTTTGCTTTTCCGCGACTTATATTTTAACATGTACCTCTTCCGGTAGTCAGGTAAAACCCGTTACCAACTGCTTACCACTGGGAGATGGAAGTAGGATTTTAAGCAGGATAAGTCTATAGGCGCATTCAATCTTTTTATATACAGTAATATGATATTTTTAAAACGTGCTAATTACAGCAATTTTTGATTTTTATTTTAATGAGTGTATTCAGACACACCTAGAAAAAACACATAAAATACAAAATACACCATCCTGAAACCAAGCGCCCATGGTTGCAAAAACAAAATCGCGGAAAGACAGGACGGCCGTCTTCATTGATATATTTATTATACCACAGAAGTTAATTAGAACAATTCTTCCACCGGGCCGGAAAATGTGGAAAGGGAAACGAACTGTTACATTTATTATAAAATGTAACAATTAAAATGCATATCGTTCTGTACGGTTTTGCATTATTACTTTACTCTTTCGTTTTGCAATATGTGAAATAATTTATCAAAATGTGTTATGGTCACCTAAAAATTAAAACATACCAGTACTGTGATATACAAAGATTGACCATTTTAATTTCCATAAAGTGAAAATCATTTCTTTAAAGTTTTAATCAACATCCAGAATAATATTTTTGTTTATATTTTCTTCGAATCAACTACACATTTTCAATTACATGTATCAGGACTTTGATTCAAAGTTCACTGAGTTAGATTATTAAAGTCCTAATGAAGATTACTCCGAAAACTCTTACTACCTGAAAAAAATGTCTAGTAATGATCTAAGATAAAATCGGTATGCACATTAAATATTTGAAGTACAGTATTAATTTTAAAAAAGAAAAGCCTTTCTATACATGTATTTAAAGCATGAAACATAAAAGACTAAGATTTAGAGATATGAAGAGAAAGACAGATTACAGTTTATAATAGCTATACAGCCTCCAGTAGTAAAAAAGAACTACACGGCAGGTACACCTAATGGGGAAAACGGGTGAGGGGAAGGGGGAACACATGTTTGTGTATAAAAAAAAATGTGTTCAAGCTAAAGTTAATCTATCTCTTGATTTTGTCCATGCATGTACGTGTCGCACCAGAATTTTCACTGGAAGTAAGACATTTCCTGTTTGTAACATCTGTCACCTATTTTGAGAAACTGTCAGGAACTTTGTTGTGTACAATATCAAGGCGTATTAAATCCAAACAAATTGAAGGAGTACTCTTATTGCTGAATAAATACACATAATTTTGTGAACGAAAACTGAAATAAACTTTGTGTCTTGAAAGCTTTCATGGGGTGTAACCAATATTGCGTCGGTGTAATAGATTGAATTATCAGTCGACCGTTTTAGAGAAGGCATTAAGTTATAATTACAAGTACTGTCAAATTCGGTAAACAAAACAGGGGTATATCGTATGACTGCGGGGGTGGAACCACAAAAGAATGCACCTGAAACACCCTGTATACAGAACCCACACACATTGTGCATGGTCCAGTGCATGAAATTCGCTCGGACTTGGTGCAAATTCCACTTGAATTTAGAAGGAAAAATGCACGCAAGCAAGTCGTGAACAAACAAATCCTCAAGTAATTTGCATTTCAGTTATCTCTCTCGAGTTAATATTTAAAAAAAAAAAAGAGGAAAGAAATCTTTCCATCATTTTTTTTTTAATTTTAGTTTTAGAATACATAATTTAGTCTAAGAATAACATCTGATACATTTTACAGTTATTTGTTTATCAAAACACGATGCGTTGACATGCGTGAATGGCGACCTTGCGTCAAATGCACCTACGTACAAAGATTCGTCAGTTAATTGCAGGCTGCTCTGCATTTATTATCGGCATTAGAGCGAGTTGTTTTGAAAGTCAACTAAAATTAATTGATCAGGTACTATACACGACAGTGACATTCCGAACCATGAGTAAGAAATTCCACATGTAGAAAATTTTATGTTTAAGTACTTTTACCATTAATTTATGCTGGAAAGTGTGAAAAATATATACTTCATTGACATTTTCACAAGAACTTGCTGCAAAAACAAATAAAAAGAGGAAAGAAACATAAGTATGAAAAATTAGGTTTTTCTGAAGGTTCCAGGTCTCTGCGTACTCTCTCTCTCTCTCTCTCCGTTGAATCTCGTGGTTGAATATTCTACATTCGTATAGACGACCAGGGGTGCGTTCAACAGCGTAGCCGCTACGTAAAGCTACGCTCTTGAAAAGAGAGCTAGCTTAGCCGCTAAGTAGGGAGAGCTTACCAAATCAAAGATGGCCTCCTTAGTTAGAACTTCACAGCACACTAGATTTTAATAAAACGAGGAATTATTTTCCACATCTTAACGAATTAAATGTATGTTTACATATAGATTTTCGCTTGAAATAAACTTTTTTTTCCAAAAATAAGTTTTTACTGATATATTTTTATCCCAAATCTTAGATTTAGTAGCTAAGCTAGCTGTCCGTTTAATAGAGATAGATATCTATCACCTAGCTGCTAGGTTAGCCGCTACGATCGTGAACGCAGCCCTGGCTTATTACTTACATGGAGATACAGTCCTTATCAAAATTCACAGTTTTTATCTAAAGTACTTGTATTTTTTTTGGGGGGGGGGGGGTGTTCAGCTAATGATCATAGGTTGTTTCATGTCCTTGAACGGTCTTTTTGATAAGGATCAGAAACTAAAATTGTGAAATTCTTGTTAGGTGGTAAAAAAATATGCTATGGAGGAACACTAGACACAAAGAAAGTAATGAACAGAAGATTTGCCCTGCCCCTTACTCAATGTCATATGGACATTTATGCAAAATAAAGGTCACAGGGGTTGAAAATGTAAAATTTAAGTCAGTCTGATTCACAGTTTTGAGGATGAGAAAGATCAATACTAGTAGTTCATAGTTGACAAAAAGTAGCTTTAATAAGAGGTCAAAATTATGAATCAATTAATGTCATTTGAACAAGGTTAAACACGGAGTAAAATTTTTGTTCAAAATGTAAAAATGCTCATACATTCCACAAAGGATGCCCATGATCATTGAATGTGTCAAAATTATGACCAAAGGTCATTTGGACAAGTTTATTATAAGTTTATGTCTGGTCCAAACTTTGTAAAATGGGAGAATATAGAATCCAGATTTGGTCCCGTTTAGACATCTGAAGGTTGGTACAATTTTGTTCACGGAACAGTTATTTCGGGGTTGGGGATGGGTCGGGTGGTGTGCTTTAAAACTTATCTTACTTACTCTGGTTTAGTTGTTTTTCAGTCAGGGATATTAACTCTCAAGTTAAGATATTTAAGCTGATTACCACTCAATGATTTAATTGAAAAAATATTCTCGTTGATTTTGAGTACATGACTGTAATTGACATGGCTTTAATAAAAGCTAGGGCTGTTCATCCCGCCTCCAGAAAATTATTTAATTTTAGAAAGAATATGCGAACAAAAATAATCTATTAATCTCCCCAAACTAGAAAAAAATTGAATGAATCAAAATTACATTGAGTTTTTAATGACTAAGTTTCAAAAATTCTTTTTAATATTTGTTTATTAAAAGGACAGACTTTGTTCAAATTGAGTTGTATAACAGAGAAACTTGATCGCCAATGGTAATTATTATCATCGGCCTAAATGGATTAGTTTCAATATTGTAGATAGAGTGTAAAACAGCGTGCTTAAGAACCCTCTATACACTGCACACTAGAGAGTTCTGATTTTGTGGTAGTTTTATGCAGATAGAGTGATCTGCCCTTTGATCAAGAATAAAATAAATTGAAATGTACAATTTATTACTTAATTTGCGATCAAATCAAGCATTCATAACACTTTAATAGACCAAGATGAATAGATAAAACACTTCATGTGCAGGTATTTTGCCCACTTAAGTAAACAACAGTGATTTATGCTCATCAGTACTTCATTGTATTTGAACATTTTTCCTGGGGGTAAATGCAAGGCACCCTATGCTGAAAATGTGATAGATTAGCTCAATACTTACACCTTTACACACTATTATTTTCTCAATGACCAAAAAATATTTTTCTCTAGT